AAGTTTTACAATATTAGAGACAAAAGATACAGTGTGGTCCCAGTTTATAAAATACTTACATTGAATCCAGCAGATGCCAGCTTGGCCTGCCACAGCAGACACTCCAAAAACTGTAACCAGTCCAGGCCAGGTCCAGGCACCAGATTTTTTCCTTATTTAAAAATATTTAGTTTTAGTTTTTGTCTTCCAGTTTGCCTACACCTAAAAATCACAATTAATAAAAAGCATTGTGTCAAATTATACTATCCAAAGATTTTAGATTCATAAAAAATAAATATATATAAATATAAATAAAATAAATATAAATATTTAATTTACTGAGGTCGTCATTATCGAAATCGCTAAGGACCCTGATATTATTTTTAATTCATGCCATTTTCTAGTTATCTGCTGATTTTCGAAATTCTTCTACCACCATAAGAATTTAACATACTCGATAAATCCTGCCACAGCTGATATCCCTTTAACTGACCTTTGAACAGTCGTCTAGGGTTTCGACATATCGCCGCGCTCATAAAATAAACAAACTGCCTAAGTGGTATATTCCTTTGTTGATTGTGCAGATTGACCACGACATTGTTGATATTAAGTTTAATCTGAGTGAAGATATTAAAATATTGATACGGTTTTACGAATGAACTTTCCATAAAATCTAAAATAATTAAGAATTGCTCTAGACTAGCTCGAAACCTCGGTTCCATGTAAAAATAATATTATTCCTAGTAACCATTTCAACACAATATTAAATACACTAACATGACGCCGATATATAATACATAACTAAAATAATTTAATTGAGATTATCACATCATATTATTATATTATACGAGATTATAAAATCGCTATTCCATGTATAATTTCACTTAAAAAATTCATGAATTCATCACTTCACAACTTAAAAATATTCTAGTTTTGCGGCGACCCATTGTCAAACTGACATTAGCGTACGACAAACCATAAAGAACAATTGATGTTTTTTGTAACATACGAATAGATTCCGAAATATTGACGAAATAACAACACTGGAATGTCATGACTTCAATCAACTGGACGCATGTAAGGAATATTTTAAGAACATTAATCAGGTAGATGGCTTAAAAATACTTTCCTTCAACATAAGAAGTTATCAGCGAAACTTTGACGACTTTACTGTAGCACTGTCTAGGCTCGACGTAAACTTTGACGCTATTGTCTTGACTGAGTGCTGGCTAAACGAATGCACGATACTCGACAATATTCAAGGATATAACGTTTTTCGAACAAACTCACAACAAAATAAGAATGGAGGTATAGTCATATATATAAAGAACCAGCATAACGTATCTATGGTTCAAACCAACTTACAAGACACTGACAGCCTGCTTTTAGTTTTAAACAACAAAGTGGCCGTACTCGGACTCTACCGCTCACCTTCTTTCCCTAACTTAACTAATTTCCTTGACTCATTAGACGAATTTCTCAAAACGATAAACAAATACTCAACAATCATTATCACCGGAGACACAAACATTGACATATGTAACACCACCAATAACAAGCACCACGATTACATGTGCCTTATGGCATCGTACTCCCTGCTGCCGGCTATTACCAAACCGACCAGAGACAAATCGTGCATAGACCACATATACATTAAATGTAGCACAAAATCGAAAGGCATAGTCTGTAAAAGCTCTATTACAGATCACGACATGGTTATGGCCCACTTACCCTCCAGTAATACCGCTAGGAAAAAAAACTACGCCTGGAAAATTAAAACTAATGAAGAGAACATAGCCTTGGAACTAGCTGAACATGACTGGTCAGACATTATGAATCTAAACTGCGCGAGCGCAGCAACAACTTTACTCACGAAAACAATCACAGACTTAATAGAAAAACACACACACAAAATCAAAATACCGCGAAGTAAATTTAATCTACAACCTTGGATAACTCCAGGGCTCATAAGGTGTATTAAACACCGAGACAATCTTCATCTATCTCTGAGGTCTGATCCAGAAAATACGTTCAAAAAGCTTATTTACACTCGATATAGAAATTACTGTAATAAACTTTTAAGAAAAATTAGAACTGACTATGACAACCGACAAATACAAGAAAACAATAAAAACCCGCAAATGCTGTGGAAAGTCCTAAAATCAATTTACGACCCCAGCGCCAAAAAGAATGCTACGTCTAGCGTAGCACTCAACTCTACAGACCTCACTGATTCTCTTAACAAATACAACGCTTATTTTACAACCGTAGGAAAAAAATTAGCCGATACCATACTCACGAGAATATCTGAAACACAAGAATCCCTAACTAGCAAGTACGCTCCACACAAACCCTCACCCACCACCTTCTTTCTTCACCCCACCGACGAAACAGAAATATCCTATTTTATCAGCCACCTAAAAAACGACAGCAGCCCCGGACCCGACAGAATTGGTGTGAGACTTTTGAAAAAAATACAAAATTCCATTATAACTCCCTTAACACACATAATTAACCTCAGCTTAGAAACAGGTGTATTTCCTGAACCATGGAAAGTCGCTGCAGTAAGTCCTATCCACAAAGGAGGACCCACTGATAAACCTGAAAACTACAGGCCGATCGCACTTCTTAGTATACTATCAAAAATCCTCGAAAAAGTTGTAAATACACGCTTAGTAAATTTTCTAGAAAAGAACCACCTTATTTCAAACAGACAGTTTGGCTTTAGAAAAGGGAAGTCGACTGAAGATGCTGCACTACTACTAACAAATAAAATATCAGACTGTGTCGAAAACGGGGACAGATGCATGGCGGTTTTCTTAGATCTAGCTAAAGCGTTTGACACAATCTCAACAGGCCTTCTCCTCAGAAAACTAGACTCGTCCGGTATAAGAGGCAAACCGCTTGAATGGTTTCATAGCTACCTATCAAACCGTACTCAATATGTGAAATCTGAGGGTTACACTAGCTATAAACTCCCCATCAACTTCGGAGTACCTCAAGGTAGTCTACTAGGCCCCACACTGTTCATAATCTATATTAACGACATCCTTAATCAAAACCTTCCAAACGCAGAGTTAATATCTTACGCTGACGACACTGTTATAATTTTCCATTCTAAAACTTGGGAACAACTATTTAATTTGGCTGAGGAAGGTCTAGCAACAGTTGCGCAAACTCTAAACAACAACCTGCTTACACTGAACATAAAAAAAACCAAGCTACTCACATTTTTTAAAACCATAACATCCAGTCCACCTCCCAATCTATCACTTAAATTTCATACATGTTCTCCGTACACTTCAAGAGAAAACTGTTCCTGTGAGCGTATACAACGAATCCAATCCATTCGCTACTTAGGCCTCCTCATCGACGAGAATCTCTCGTATAAAGTACATATCAAACATCTATCAGGTCGAGTCAGAAAACTCATATACATCATGAAAAAACTCAGAGACCGCACACCAAAAGATACACTTCTCATGGTATATTACGCCATATGCCAGTCCATTATTCAATACGGCATATCTACTTGGGGAGGAGCGGGAAAAACCACACTCATAGACCTTGAAAGATCCCAAAGGGCAGTGATCAAAGTACTCCTTAAGAAGCCATGGCTCTATCCAACAGATACCCTATATAAAGAATTAGGAGTTCTGCGTGTCCGTCAACTATTTATCCTTAACGCATACTTACACGCACACAAATCCCTGAAAAGAAGACCAGACTACAACGCACTCACCTCAAAACGCATATTCAAAATCCCAATACCACGCACAACCTCCCTCTTAACCAGACGATCCCCTACCTACCTCCACACAACTGTCTTTAACAACGTTCATCGCAGGTTACCTCTTGACACAAATGAGCTGCCACTTTCCTCATGTAAGAAGATATTAAAGAAATGGTTAAAAGAACTTTCATACGAAGAGACAGAAAATATTCTTACAACACAATCTACAATCGAAAGGTCGCACTAACACGCACAAAACACACACACACACACACACACACACACACACACACACACACACACACACACACACACACACACACACACACACACACACACCATTCATCATCATCAGCATCAACTTGAGACTGATAAGCTAAGTTCAAGTAAACTTTAAACTAAGCATATTATTATTTAACTTTAACTACTTTTTGTACCTTTATAATTTCCTTTCACTGTATACAACGAGACGAATTTAATTTTAAGAAGATGCTTTAAATTATTTCATATTAAGTTGTTCCTTTTAAATTTTTTGTTTAAGTTTGATTATTGATTTTATTGATTATTTTTAATATTTTTTTAAGTTTCTACTTCTGTCCACAACCTGACCGACTTTTAACTAAAGTTTTTAGATAACCGCAACTCGGGACCTCAAGATACAGGCCTCGCCTAGTTTGGGGACCGCCGCTCTTAAAAGCAATGTCCGCTAACAACACTAAGTTACAACAAACAATTGTACCTAATTATAACTAAACTTTAAGGCAAACTTATGTAACTGTGGATAAATAAAATTTTATTATTATTATTATTATATTATTATTATAGAATGAGCGTTCGACAAGTGGTTGTACACTTGGCTACCAATCGAAAAACGCTAACGCCCAAGCGTTCATTTTCAGTAGAATAGAAACGACTCCGAGCGTTTGCCACTTGTCTAGGCCCTCAGGTAATTTATTGAAATAAAACGTAACTGGACGGTATAAGATTAATATAGATTATTATAGACATAGTTACACTAAATTCGATACAGCTGTTTTGTGCGTCAGTCGTTGCTTGGTGGGCGCGATCGCGCGGCTTCTTAATTGGCCAGGCGTTTCCATCACCCTGCTCGTAGCCAGACCCTGTCCTTGTTCTTGTATGCATAAACATTGCGAATCCGTTAGTTGACCTATGACCATTATTATCGGAGTTATGGGAACAGTGACAAAGATTCTGGTTTGTCATGATTACACGACGATTTTCTATTCTTATTTGGGCTCTCCACATTAACTCTGCCTTTATTTTGCAGCTTTTCGGCAAGGTTTATCCTGACGATGACGTGATAAGCAGCAACAATAACTTCAAGACTTTCGGTGGAGCTCTTATGGTGCTGTTCAGATCAGCTACAGGTTTGAACAATTGATTTTTAACTAAGAATCCTTATGAGTAATTTGTATGGTATATTTTACATGATAGAGCAGAAAATAAGCAGACGGGTAACCTGATGGTAGGCAATTGGTGCCGCCCACAGACATGGGCAACATCAAAAGAGTTGAGTGCGTTGCCTGTCTTTTGAGGATTGAGAAGGGTTGGGAGAGGAGAAGAATTGGGAGTCCAGTAATCTCATTTACAAGGCGGAACACAACGCTGTTTTTTGTTGTTTTTACGCCTGTTTTCTGCAAGGTCGTGGTAGCACTCCGGAGGAACCGACCTTTATTCTGAATTCTGAAGATTGGCTCTCCAACAAATAAATATATCTATCAGTTTAAAATATTATTGGAATATAGTCGGTTAATATTGTATGAGGGTTCCACCGTTTGAATTAGGTAAGCCGTTTGGAAAGAAAAAGTAAAGTCAAGAAAAGTAAAGAAGAACTCCATGGCCTTACAGAAAAGTGGTGTTAAGCAACACGTGCGACACGAGATGCTAAAGACCCAATGCACTTCTGGAGTTTAGGGATCCTCGGGCAGCGCTGATTTTTCATACTAAGAGATTTAAAGTCGTTTGCTTCCCATCTCTTGAAATAAATGTTGATGGAATATCTATTGTGTGTTACAGGTGAAGCTTGGCAAGATATAATGATGGCATTATCTCCGAATACTGATGAGAGGCCACACAATCCCGTCCACTGCATCAAGCCCGACAGATATGACATGGAACCGGACAAGGAAAATTGTGGCACCTGGATGGCTTTCCCGTACTTCATCTCTTTTTCTTTATTGTGTACTTTCTTGGTAAGTCATGGTCGAGTTATGAATGGAATTGGAATAATCCAATAAGGTTATGAATGGACGTTTTAAGGTTATGATTCTTTTTCCTTTTTCAAAACATCAAAAGTGATAGGTTTTTATTTAGTAGACATTATCGTGATATTGATTGAAACTAACGACTTTAGTCACGTGAATTAAATGAGGAAAGCTCGACTAGTTTCAAGTCACAGCGGGACTCTTATTCATAAGTAGCGTGCGCGCTGCGGTAACGCCGCGCAGCCGCAGTTAATTCACGAGTCAAAGTCTGATCATTTTTTTCAAATTGACACCAAAAGGCACATTTGAAAGTCAAACAAAATCCAAAAGGTTTAATTTAAAGGTTCCAAAGAAGAAGAACGAGCCAGAATCTCCATGGTTACTCTTTTTTAATCAGTTTCACAAATTCATTAAAGACTAATACGAGACTAATCATATATCGTTATTCTAAATTTATTATACTAGTCACGATAGTAGGTAGGTATCTTACTAAGTACTTACTCAAAAATATCGTAATAAATTCTTCAACGTCTATTAATATAGGTAGTTTTTTTCTTCAATTAACCAGAACATTAATTTAAAACTTAAACACGTTAACTGCCACGTAGGTCACCGGTGACCTACCGCGGTATGCGAAGGATTTACCTTCAATAGTTTTCGATCGGCAGTCAAGGGCTTAAAACAAAATTAATTAGGTATAGATAACTTAATACGATAAGTCATTTGTAATAAGTGGCCAATGTAATTTAATGAAAATGTAAAATAAAAAATCCTATTCTTTGTTATGCTTATTACTTTACAAAGATAACAGAAATAATAAAACACAAAAAAGAAATTTATTAGTAAAATGTGTCGATGCAAAATGCGTAAAAAATTACTACCGTAGGTAGCTACCTACTTTTAATATAAAAGACAATAAAATACATTTTGTTTCAGATCATAAATCTGTTCGTGGCTGTCATCATGGACAACTTCGATTACTTAACCAGGGATTGGTCTATTTTGGGTCCTCATCATCTCGACGAATTCGTTAGGTAAGCATACAACATAAATATAAGTATTAAGTAACAGTAAAAAAATATTTGAATGTATTGTTGAGGAAAACGATCCATAGGTACTTGTAATATTAAGACTGCAGAAGAGTTTATTTCAGGGCTCAAATTCAAAAATATTCATTGTTCCCTTTTCGAGTAAGGCTGTAGGTAAACCATAACTATATGATAATTAGCAGTCGAAAAGTGGAATAAACCACGAGAAACTAGCTAATATAGCTATAGCTTTAAATAATGTTATTATTTTTAGGTTATGGAGCGAATACGATCCTGATGCAAAAGGGAGAATAAAGCACTTGGACGTTGTCACTCTACTCAGAAAGATCAGCCCACCCCTTGGTAAGGATTGTTATTTTTTATCTTCACTGTTAGTAAAAAGATCCAAATAGTCAAAAGTCAAAGTCAAAGTCAAAATCATTTATTTCAATTAGACCCATACAGGCACTTTTGAACGTCAACACAACTTTAAAGATACAAAGTGTCAGTCTGTCGGTCAGTCCTCTTAGTGAAGCTATTTGGTCGTTCCAAAGTGTAGATTCCGATGGAGAAGAACGAGCAAGAAACTCCATGGTTACTCTTTTAAAATCAGTGTCATATAAACATTCTTTAATACATTATTTAGTTGGTTTGAATATGTGAGAACAGTGTAACGCGTGTATACAGAGAAACATAAAAAGAAAATAACCTTAAGGACAATAGACAGTCCGGAGCTGACCAGTCCCAATTGACGGCGCCCGTTCACGAGCATGACACGTACACCAGCATCGCCCAACTCAACCATAATATAGGGAATCGAGCGATCCAGTGACCGTGCCACCGGCAATGTGACCTTTGAGCGAGCATGACAACTCCAAGCTGACATAAAGACCGACATTCTGCTAGTCTAACTAATTTTAGTTTTAATTAGTCTAAATAATTTCCAAAAGTAAATTTACCTTGGAGAAAGTTATACTGGTACTTGCTAAGTTTCAAATTCCTGATGCTTAACCTCCAGGCTACAACGCCCAATTTTGTATTGACATAGAACAAGATAAAACGAATTAACGCATTTAATTAAATGTTCGGGATTAGACACTGTCTATATTTCACATTGTGTGTGGAATAAATGGTTTTTCTTTCTTTCTTTCTTCTTTCTAGAAACATAAAAACATCTAAGTATATTTGGTACGAAGCGCCCTCCATCTGAGTGATCCACTTAACTGGAGGATCTACTTAGCCGGAGGGGTCCAAAATAATGTACCGCGCCCCTGGTTTGAGCAAGAGAAGGAACGAAGTAGATTTTAGTCAGTAAGAGTCCGACACTCTCTCGCTAATCCACGGCAAGAGAAAGGATTTGATGCGACTTTTACTCCCTCAAAAAACAAGCTAAGTGGCCATAGCTGGGCTGGCAGTAGTTGAATGCGGAGAGCTCAAACTTGGGCCCATTGGCATTGGCGTACTTTTAGAGAGGGCTATGTCTAGAAATAGATAAAAACAAGCTTATGATGATGTTTCAGGTTTTGGTAAACTCTGTCCACATCGGACGGCCTGCAAACGTCTGGTGTCTATGAATATGCCGCTAAACTCTGATGGAACTGTCAACTTCAATGCCACACTCTTTGCTGTCGTCCGGACCCAGTTGCAGATTAAAACTACAGGTTAGAAAAAAATCAATGACATTCAGTATTGGCATATATTATGTATGATGTATAATGGTCTGGACTGATGCCTATATGGGCTATGCTGTGGACAATGATGTTATTACTATGGCCTGGATTGAACCAGGAGAAGGGTTTAAGTAATTTTTAGTTAATAGAAATATTAATATCAGCGTCATCAGTCTACTTCTCTACTTGTGGATATTTCATATTGGGGTTAAAAACTGTTATGCAAATCAATGCTTTTAAAACTAAACTATGAAAACTTATACTAATAGGTAAAATTTCTATTACATACCACACAAAGTTACAACAAAACCACTTCTGATAAATGTTTTAAAATGTAGGTGTCATCGACGAATGCAACACGGAACTCCGAGCCATAATTAAGAAAGTTTGGAAACGTACATCTCCGAAACTGCTGGACCAAGTTGTGCCTCCTCCCGGAGACCCCAACGAGATAACAGTCGGAAAGTTTTACGCTACATTCCTTATACAAGACTATTTCAGAAGGTAAGGGAGAAATATTTGCTAAAATAACAAATAAATGTGTAGAAACGATGTTGTATCGCTGAAATCGATGGTAATCCAAATTAAACTTAGAAGTTATTAAAAATCTTATTAATTGGCATTTATTGTATGTATTTCATATCGATTGAAAAGGTCATCATTACTTTCCATATTTACCAGAAATACTTTGGGGTATTGGGTTTGGTAACAATTTTATGATTATACATTTGTTCGGTATCATCCTATCAATATAAATTAAAAAAATTGAAATCTATGATCATCATCGATGTCAAAATCAAAAAATGTTAAATGTCTATCTAAAATTAATTCATCAACTTCGTCTTCAAAATTTTTTACTACAACAGTAACCATTTCTTTCATCTTTCATATTCTATTTATTTTCTTTGTGAGCACATCATTAACATCGATATTTCTATTTTTATAGGAACCATGCGTAAGTCGATTCACGAGTACTAAGCAACATTCGAAGATTTTTTTACAAAATGCTGTATTTATGCTTGCTTTCTTGGTAGATTTTACTATTTTATTGCCAAGAAGGCCGCTTGAGAGATTTTTTTTCTGAATTTTTTGGTCATTATGTTCTTGTATTTGGGATTTTAGATTCATACGATCATCTGTAACTGAATCATTTAGAGAGATGCCTATTAGTATAGTCGCCATCTTAATCGCAACTTGTCTTAGTTCCTTTAGATCAGTAGTGGTTGATGATTGTATGATTCTTCGAACATTTTTATTGGTTTCAGCTTCATCGCCTTCTCTAAGGTGTTCTTTTACAGTGTCCAATGCATTATCCAAATATATATTTTTGACAGCATGATAATTTTTACGGCATTTTTTTTCAAGTTCTCCAAAGCATGTTTCCTCCGTGTAATAACTTATGTATTTACAATCACTTGCTTAAAATGCACAGTCTTCATTATTGTCTTATACTTCCTGATCTTTTGAGTGGAGTTGATTTAATTTTTGTGTTTTGTCAAATGTTTATGCATGTCGACGGCGAGATTTATATACTTGAAATGCTTTTTTAACATAAAATAAAGTAATTTTAGGCAAATGGTTGTAAGTTTGTGACACAGAGAAGACATGATTGGACTAGTTTGTGATTTTAACCTTGAATCACTATTTTTTTTTGTGTTTGATACATTCACACTTTTTAGTGTTAACTTTAGTACCATGAAATATGTATCTAGTTCTTTGACCTAGTTTCAATAGATAACCTAGGTGTAAATACAGATAGAGAGGCTGTGTGTTGTGTGTATCAACATGTTTAGAAAGATAATATCTACAAAAACAAAAAAGACAAAACAATTCTTGTAGATAAAACGCAACAGATCTTACTAATTTTGATTAAAAAGTGAATAAAGATTTCATCGATACCTACGTGAAAAATGAACAGATTCAGAAAACGCAAGGAGCAGGCTGCAGCAGCTTCACTGCAAAACAACCAGATGACGTTGCAAGCTGGACTAAGGACACTACACGAAGCTGGACCTGAGCTCAAAAGAGCTATTTCTGGCAACTTGGACGAATGCGTTGGAGAAGTCGTGGAGCCTATGCACAGGGTGAGTCAAGCACCTGAGAAAATAATGGCCTAATTAAAAACACCCACATTTCTCATTGTTTTATTGTGTCCGGATCGCAGCGATCGTTCCCGCCTAGGTCCTACAACTCAGGGAAACTTAGTGTAGGATCCAGGGCTCCAAACAATAATATTTCATTCTCATTTCCATTTTAATCATTTTTCATTGTTAGACGTTCTGTGGTAAACTTTTCATAACAAACTCTGACTATTTTTACTGTATAGTTGATGCGGTGACAGCACGGGCAACTGGCTGCTGTGAAATGTGTCCCGAGTTTGATATCCGCGCTAAACAATTCTTTGTGCGATCCACAAATTTTTGTTTCTGGCCTACGAGTGTTATGTGTTTTTGTAAACGCAATTATACGACACAAAATTCGAATATGGGGCAAGACTTTTTAAAAAACACAGTCAAGTTTATTCAATTGTGGCTTTCATGTGCGTAATATAATATAATTAAATGTTCCAGCGTAACCACACATTGTTTGGTGCTGTTTGGACAAGTATTAAGAAACATGGACGGGAGAGCTTCTACGGAAAAGATAGACGAGAGGCAATGCAGCATATGCCTTCTAGTAATAGAAATGGAGGTAAGTATAAATAAACACTGTGGAATTACGACACGGTTTCGAGAAAGAGGATACTCCTAAAATAATGGCACAATCTAACATTGGTGTTACCTAGCCCCTGTTGTTCCATTTTGTTTGTCCAAGCTTAAGGAACTCCCACAGATGTAGTATGATTATAATGTTTTGGTATTTATTTGCTTGGAAAAAGGGATAAAATATTGAAATAGCTTGTGAGTCAAGCTGCACTCCTAGAAAGAAAAAGCATAGAATATCGTCTTTTCTGACTTATGTTACAAAAAGAAGTCTTTTGCCTTCTTTTTCCAAAAACCATTCCAGACTCGTACCTATGAATCATATTTTTAAATCTAACACTAATTTTTCATTATACTTTCGTAAGACATTCTAAATTAATTATTATGTTTTCGGCTTACTCACGTAATAATTTGACGAGATACTCGACTAGTTTCAAGCCATGCTAGGGCCCCATATTTATGGGCAGCATTATAGGTACGTGATTTTTTGTTTCAGTGGACAAAGACGGTCCATCATTAAGTACTATGATGCGACGTGAACTTGGTATGGATGGAAAGATACCAGAAGAAGAAATGTAAGTATCAACAATACATATTGTCTCATCCCATGTGCAGTAGACAGAGGACAAGGGAAAGCCAATTACCAAAATGTTCTTGACTTCATTTTCAGAAAACAAGAGGATGGGAACCAAAGCGATGAGGAAATTGCGATGCAGCCTCTTCTACACGGCAAGGACTCCGAAAAGATATTCAAAGCTATCGAGTAAGATAAACAGATTTTTTAACTTTATTCTATTATTGTCGTACAAAACACAATAGCTTTTTATAATTTAAATTTTATTTTGTGTCGTGATCAATGTTTTAATTTTCATTTAATTAATCATGGCACATTAAAATTGTTCACAATTACAAACTTGATGAAAGCGCCATCTTTCATTTTCCTTTTCAACTACCACGCCCGTAACAAAGAAGGGTAGTAACGTAAACGTTATCCGTAACATAAGATAGATGGCATTAGTGATGGACTAATGTGTTTTGAAGAAAAAAGTGGTTTTCATAATTAAATTTAAATGTCGGCTATAACAACGAATAATATTCGCAGAAAAACGTCCAACGATTTAATGCAGACTATGAGAAAGAACTGTAAGTCCGTTTTAGTGTGTTGTGATTGTGTAGTACTGATTTTTATATGATTTGCTATTACCGTGTCTATAAAAAATATCTATAAACGTGCATGATGAATATTTATCTCCTTAAAATTTGTGCTATTTGCGCACTATTCTTCGTTACTCATATGACAGGTTGGTATGGTAAAAAATGGGTAAGTTGGCATGGCAAAATAAATTAAAGATTGTCATTTCAAAATAATGAGAATGGGAATGTACGCTATGATATAATGTAAGCTATACTAGTCATTATTAATCCGCATGACACTGATCTGGATTTAAAAACTATGATCGCTTGTTTAATATATCTTCTTTCGTGAATAAAACAAGAGCACAATCTACGTTACAGAATCAGATCAAGTAATTTTAAGGTGATTTTCGTAGTTTTAAAACAGCGCCATCTCTGATCTTAGTCGAGTAACACGAATCCTGTTTCAATGTGTTTTAGATCGTGACAAAAGGACGAGACCTCTCAACAACGTGCCTTATTGCATAGAGAATCCAGCGGAGAATCTTATTACTCGAGTAAGTATTTTTGTTACATTTTAGAAGAAATTATGATGTAATTTTCTTGATCGACCTTACTTACTACTAATCCCTACGAATCTTCAAGTTAAAGTAAAAGAACGAGTGCAAAGGAATAAATATTAAAAAGGAACAAATATTATCTGTGGTCTAATTATAAAGTTAAAATACAAAAAAAAACACCTCGGGTTTTGACACTTTTGAACTAAATTCTATGTTAGCACTAACTTAAAATTTACCTTTAACTTGATTGGGCTGACCTTCTGAATTAAAATGAACTGTTAAATATTATTTACTCGAGTGCCAAAGACCAAAGAGCCAACAGACCCATCAGGGCTGATGATCAGTTGTAGTAGGCGATTTTCAATAAAAAAAAAATAGTCATTGGCGACTTTCCTTATCCAAAAAAGTGTTATCTACTGAGTTATTTCATTAGTCTCATTTTTCTGAGTCTGAGTTGTAAAGATTTCTTTCTAGAAAATCGTGAATAACTTTTAAATTGGCAATTACCGATGTATTTTTATTTTAAATTGGAAATAAATGTCGATATTATGCCTGTGACGCCTCTGGTGTTGCGGATGTCCATGGGTGGCGCTGATCACTTACAATCAGGAGATCCGTCTGCTAGGTTGCCTCCGATTCCATGGAAAAAAGGCTCGACCATAACTTATATACCAAATGAGACATTTCCAATGAATAATGATAAACCTTTTATTTTCTAGCTACCTCATGGGGCATTACCTAGGTATTTCTAATTACTTAGGCACTAATGTAGTTAGATATAGCTAAAATATACCTAGATTTTGTAGAAATATATATATCAATTTTGTAGAAGACTTTGTATTTATTTTCTATTTTACGTTTAAATAGATAATTAGAATATTGTCTAGTACCGGCAACTTAGTTCTCAGCATCAGGATGAAAAAAAGTATATATGTATAAGTTAAGCCTTAGACTATAATATAAATTATCTATATGCCAAATATCATTTAGCCCCTCTCAGTAGAGTTTACGTAGAACAGTATTAATAGTCAATCTATTCATCCATCAGCAAGGACGCAGTGCATCATTGCGGGGTAAGCGCAATAAGGGACTGCAGCCTCGGCCTAGAGCAGGAAATGGAATGGGGGGGGGGGGGTTAGTCAGTAAGAGTCTGACACTCCCTCCTGCCTTACCTTGGGTGGGAGCTTCAAGACACATCGGAACTCTTATTTAGGTATACACGACAACAACTGTTAGTAGTCGACTGGCACAAACTCACCAATAAGAGTCCCAGTGTGACTTGAAAGTAGTCGAACAGTAGAACTTTGTTTAGTTAATTCACGCGAAGTAAGTTATTATTTACAATAGACTTGTTGATCATGATGTGATGTTAATAATCGACATGTTTCGAATAGGTACTGACAGAACAGGGGCTCGGCAAGTACTGTGACAAGGACTTCATTCAGAGCACTTCACGCGAGATGCAGGAAGCGCTCGACCTTACCCAAGAGGAGATGGATACGTGAGATATATTGTTTTATTTATATTGGACAGAAAAAAATCAATGTCTAGACTAGTTTTGAGTATGGAGGTTGTATGGCAGAAGTCAATATGAAATTATACTTATGCAGCAATAGATGGCGCTTAAATCAACTTAGGACTAGGCGATGAAACACGTTATTTTTTTATTAGTTTAAACAAATTCATAAATACATAATTGCTATTGTCGATGATAAAATCTGAACTAACATAATGACGATGTTTACAGCGCTGCCAATCAAATTATATTGCAAGAGAGAAGGATGGATGCTGCCCAGGGCAGGCCCAACGATGTGGTAAGTTCTATACCTTACTTCTCTGCTCAATTACTAACCAAGAAATTTTCGACTTCAGACTTTCATTACCTACTCTATGTATATAAAAATGAATCGCAAAAATTGTTGGCAAGCGCATAACTCATCAACGGCTGGACCAATTTTGCCAATTCTTTTTTTGTTATATTTCTTACTATTGACAGAAGAAGGTTCTTATCAAAGAAAATATTAGAAAAGTAGAGGGGAAAGGGTCGTTATTTTTATATAAAACACACATAAATTAGCTTATAAGTGTCCACTGATAAGTAAAGGCCTCTTTCTTCTCACACGGATAAGATTTGAGCATTGATCACCACGCTTTACTCAAGGCGGTAAATCGTTCGTTTATTCATGTTTGTCTTTACCGTCTGTCTGTGAGTCTGAGAGTAGTGAGAATCAGTATTAATGTATCCAATGTTCTTTTTCCAGGAAAGCATATTGTCAAGACAATATCATCCCTTCCATCAACCTCCCATGCAACCCCCACCAAGGAAAAAATAGACCCCACGACTACTTTACTTGGAATACTTTGTTACCCTCCCGGTTGACTACCGTGAGGGTTTGTTGCCCACGCCTGGGCTCGCAGGCCCACGGACCTTAGGGCTACAGGAGGACAAAAAAACTGATTTTTTGAAGAATATTTTGTAAATAATAGCTTTCGGCTTAAAGGTCCCAATGTGTTTTTTCTAGAAATTTCCCCTATGGGGTATGAAATATTTGTGGTAAGAAATGAATTTTTAAATGAAACATTTTACCTAATATGTATACATTATATTGTACGCGGCTATGTGCCTTATATAAATATTGATAAAGGTGAAAATTGTGCCAAAAACCAAAATGTTTTAATCGCCTTAAAATTTAAATATTGCGATATTTTCTGCTATAAAATTATTGTAATATCTATAATAAAAATTGTATAAATATAAATGGCATATAATATTATATAACGTGTATAAATTATATGGGTATTATTTTGAGTAAATTCTAGTCATAATGTGCTTTCTTAAGTTTTATTGTGAACCTTTATTTAGTATGAATAAATATATTTTAAAATAATGTATTTTGTATGAAGCTATACTTGTTATTGTGAATAAATTTTATTGTTGGAATGGATTTTAAATACCTCGTTTCATTTCTGCATGAACTACGAAATCTTGTTAAAAACAACTACGTACAGTGAGGGTCAAAACTGCAACTGCACTTTATCAATGCTAAAGTATCTACATTTCTTGATAGTTAGGCTCAGAGGTTGCTTGGCTGATTAATTTGTAGCATAGATTCTAAAGAAGTTTTAAACATCGTCGCGTTGGTTCAGTGCAATTGTACATTAGACCCTAGATTATACATAAAAAACACCTTAATTGTTAATCAAACGGTATATTTTTAGTTTGTATTTAGTCTAGATCATATTGGTTGTTTCCGTCACCGTCTTCATCTTCATTGGCATCGTCATCATCGTCTTCATCACTAAAGATATCATCATCAGTAAACACATCATCACACTTGTAATGTATATCTCCTTCAGCTAACCCATCAGTCACTGCACCATGATTTTCTATTGCTTCGCTTCTTTTGACTGCATCATTAGTGGCATGTCTTAGAATAGTTTTCGCGTCTTCGATAACAAGATTTTTGTTAAAGCCGTCAGGGATTGTAACATGGCTAGTACTTATATCAGCGACAGGGTTTGGATCCTGTACAGAATTTATGTTTGATATTTCATTTGAAATCTCTTGCGGCTTCTGATTTGTTCTTTTTGCATTGACTGAAACTATTGTTTGTGAAGCAATATTAGTGGTCAATTTCACTAAGTCATTACTGTTGGCACTTGGCGCTGAGGGTACAGGTTTTTCAGATAAAAAATTGTTTACAATGACAGGTTTGATCTCAATGTTGCTCGTGGGATTAAATTCTGTTGTCTTAGATGTTTCCTCATTAATATCACTTTTTGTAACTGTTGAACTAGGATCATGTTGTATTTCTTTATGATCACTGTCCTTATTACTTAGCTCAGGTAAGACGTCTTGAGTTATAGCGGGTTTAATGTTCTTTGTATCTATTTTAGGGTCTTCTTTTATTATAAAACTATCTTTTTTTGACGTAGAGTTATCTATTTTTTTTGATGAATCTGTTAAAGACTCTTGATCTTGACTTTGTTTCTCTTTTTGAATGGATTTAACACTCTCTTTACCTACAATTCTTCGTAAAGTTTTAATTATACTAAAACTTTCACTTTTTGCACTACATTTTTCAGCAACAGGAGGATTATTCATTGGGTTTTTGGGAATCGATGTTTTCTCATTGGTGGAAGAAATTGCATTTTGCATTGCATTATGTAAGTCAGTTTTTTCAGTTTTTATTTCCTTAGACTTATCAATGACTGTTACAGTGGCACTGGAATCTTTTTCATGATTCAGTATTTTAGTATTATCTTTAAGTTGATTGCCAGAACTTTCAGAATGCATAATGGTGGTGGGATTGCATTTTTCGGAAACTGTTAACGCCTTTTCACAAAATTCTGTAGAGTTGGGATCGTTTACTTTTGTCGGTGTATTATCATCATTTATTTTATGAATTGAAGAACTGTGTTTGAGGTCTACTGGAAAATTAACACCAAGTTCTTGTTGTATGTTAATGGTATTTGAATTATCAAATGAATCTATTAAATCATTATTTATTAAATGAATTTTAGGATTATCGGACGGCTTAAAAGAAGGATCATTTAAAGGTTTCGGTGGACAGTCATTAATTGTCATTATGTCTTCTGTAGCGTCTTCGATACTATTTGTTGTTTCATCGTCCCACAACATGGAAAAATTTCGCCTTACGTCGTCTAAAGTGTCATTTTCTGGACCGGAAATTTTAATTGAATTAGACATATTTCCTGTAAACTTTTTTGCCTGTTGTTCTAACACACCTTCGTCTTTAATTAATACTGGAAAAACAATATCAGGATTTTGCGAGCCTTTTCCAAGTTTAAAACCTCTTTTTTTATCCTTCCCATCATCTTTCTTGTTTGTTAAACGGTTTACTACCTTAATTTTGCTACAAGTCTTAATAACATCATTATTACAATCATCATCATCTTCTTCTTGTTCGTTATCACTATAACAATCTTTAGACTCTACAAAATTATCACAATCTGAAGCATTTACTAAATGATCACAATCTGTAGTATCTACTACATTACCACAATCTTTAACATCTACTTTATTACCACAATCTTTATCATCTACTACATTTTTACATTTTGACACGGGTTTGTTAGAATACTTTGCCATCTCACCTATTTCACATTGTAACTTTTTAATGAGGTTTTCTAATTCTGTTAATTCTTTATCAAAATTATTGCAACTATTAGTAGACGTCTCACATCTGTTGTTTATTGGGTGGATAGTAAGCCTTCTACTATCAATTAGGTCATCTTCAGAATCTATTGGTATTTCTAAATTGAGCCTATCTATGAGAGAGTCAACATACGAGTTACGTGGACTTTCGTCCGTTCGCTTATCGTCAGCCATTATTCCAAATATCTTTGCATTCTTGCCTTGCACTCTGCAATTTTTGCTCGTCTTTTTTGTTGTTCACAGGGATCTAGTTTGGGAGGAGGGGGTGGTGGCGGGGGTGGTTCACAGTTTGGCAGAGATGTATCAGGGTGATTTGTTTCTAATTCACGTATTTTTTCACAGCGTGACTGTCCTGGAAGTTGTGGTCTTACCACGCAAGTGAAACGTAAATCTTCTAATATTGCTTGATCGGATTTTAATGTACTCGCATCAATTGGTAGGTTTTTGATTCTTTCTAAACATAAACAAGGGGGTTCTTTAAAACATTTTTTGACCTTTTCTGGTTCTTTAGGTGGTTCACAAACAACTTTTTTAACACATTTTTTCTTAGCGGCAAGTGCTTTCTTCTTACGTTGTATCTCACACGGGTCTAACGGCGGTTCATCATCTGTTAAAAAAAGGATATTGTCACTATTTTTTTTTTATAATGTCTGGCGCCATTAAGATGTTGAGATGTTCTCCATGTAGTGTGTGCGTTTAAAAATGCACGATTTACATAAGCATCACACCCTGATCGGAAACAAAAAAAATGTGGATCACCTAGAGTCACCCAGCCACCGTGTCAACTATGTCAATCACTGCTTAAGAATCACAAACAATGTATCATTATTTTGTATTTTTGAGATTCTATTTCTAAGCATCTACTGTTCAGAATTATATGTAATGTAATCAATGGAACACTGACTATTTGAAAGATTAAGCGTACTTTATTGAAGTATAGGAAACCAGCCTCTGTTAGAAGCTTGACTCTTTATATTATTCAAGGCAATAATCTAATTTTCATTCTGATCCATCAATAGGATTTACGTGAAAGAGTAACAAATTTACGCCTTTAGTAAAATACTTTTCATTATTTTAAAGAAAAGTTTTAAGTGTGGGAGAGCCATGCTTCGGCACGAATGGTTCGGCTCGACCGGAGTGATACCACGGCCTCACAGAAAACCGGCGTGAAACAACCACAGCGTTGTGTTTCGCCGTGTGAGTGAGATTACCGGAGGCCCAATCCTTCCCCTTCCCGGACCCTTTCCTAATCCCTAAATCTCCAAATCCCTAATCCCTAGAAGTTCGGCAACGCACTCGTAACTCCTCCGTTTCGGGTGTCCATGGGCGGCGTTGATTGCTTACCATCAGGTAATCCGTCTGCTCGTTTGCCGACTTATTACATAAAAAAAGTCGATTTTCGTCGTGACATCATGATAGGACTACGCATAACAATAAGACCGGCTTTAGAATTGGTCACGTATGATTGTCATTATAACAGTGCTATAGTGGATAGTAATAGTTCGGTGTATCATTTAGTCAACGTCAGTGCAACCTAGCATAATAGGTTGAAATTGAATCATCATCTAAAAAAAATTTTGTTTTATCAATATTTATACGTTTCAAAGTGTCCTGGTCATTTGGAAGCCAGTTACCAACTGCACAGAGGCGCTTAAGACAACTTTAATACAAATAAAGTAGGACACAAACTGCCGAATATTTCTGTACGTACGCACTACAGAAATGCAACCAAAGACAGTGCCCGGTTAGTGTAGGTGAAGGGCGCTCTACACTATGTTTGCCTAGATGTGGTCTCCACTCTAGAACACCTCTATCCCAACAGTCATCAGTTCTTCGACAAATTTGACCTGCCCACTGCCAACAGCTTTAGTTCTCTGTCAGATCAACTCGTTTCGAAAGGATCTGAAGGATCGTATCCTTCAGAAGACTCCAAGCCTATCGCTTTCAATAGCTCGCTGCGCGACTGTGTGGTTGGCAAAGGTTGGATGAGAAAACCTGAACATCGAGCTCAGTGGCTTGCGATTGGGGAGGTCTATGTGCAGCAGTGGACGGAATCAGGCTGATGATGATTTTTTTTTTTTTTACTTGCAATAAACCAGTGCTTGACTGCGATCCCACCTGATGCTAAGCAGTGATGCAATCGTTGATGGTAAGGCGCACTAGTTTATTAAGAGCCTATTCACTCTAGCCTTGAAGACACCTAAATTGTATTCGGACGGAAAGACTGCAGCCGGCAAACTGTTCCAATCCCTCGATATACGCGGTATAAATGACGAGGCAAAACGCTTAGTCCGGGCCGCAGGTGTCTCAACAACGTAGGGGTGGATATTCGCCGTACGCCGGGATGTCCGAAGGTGAAATTGGGATGGCGGAATCAAATCGTGCAATTCCTGGGCATACTCTCCAAAATGTATTCTGTAGAAAACCGCAAGGCTGGCTACTCTGCGCCTGTGCTCGAGACTTTGAATATTGGACCCAACCAAATCTGGATCTTCAATCAGCCTCTTTGCACGCCTTTCCACCGAATCCAAAGCCGCTAGGTGGCATTTCGCAGCACCAGCCCATATGTGGCTGCAGTACTCCACACACGATCGGACCTGAGCTTTATACAACATTAGAAGCTGACTCGGTGTGAAGTACCGTCGGACTTTTGCAAGAACGCCGAGTTTTCTAGCAGCTACCTTGGCTCTGGACTCAATGAACCGCCCAAAGTTGATGATGATGATGATGAAATGTTTATAGCAATACTACCGGCTGTCACAGACTATGTTGATGATATTATGATGCCATGCAATATTTACCTGTGTTTTTTGTCTCTTCTGTACATTTTTTATAGAACATTATTTACTGAGGAATTTAGTTTGATTTTTATAAATCCATTTTTTATGGTTGGCGTCTCCGGGTGACTTGTGGTCTTGTTGATTATGTCAGTATTCTATGAAGTCGGCTGCCAGTGTCATTTTAATGAAAGGAGGTTTTCTTATCGAAATTCTACGTAGCGCTCTTAGCGCTATGGCAATAGCATTCATCATCATCATATCAGCCACAGGACGTCCACTGCTGAACATAGGCCTCCCCCATTGACTTCCAGATAGGCCGGTTGGAAGCGACCTGCATCCAGCGGCTTCCTGCGACCTTAATCAGGTCGTCTGTCCACCTTGCGGGTGGACGTCCCACGCTGCGCTTGCCGGTACGTGGCCTCCACTCGAGAACCTTTCTGCCCCAGCGGCCGTCGGTTCTACGCGCTATGTGCCCTTACAAATAGCATTACATTGATTTAATAACGACAATATGATAATATCCCCGTTTGTAGTAGAAATACTAGCTAAACGTACACACACCCATTTTACAATTACATTTACACATACACTTAATTTTCACGATTTCCAAGACTTTCGGATTTTTATAGGAACTGCACAAGATATTTCCTCCTTGTGCTTTCCGCCTTTATACTACCAGACAATCGGCCAAACGGGTAAATATGTACGAAGCAATTCAGCTTTGTTTTAATATGATAGAACCGCTTAGCGTTGGTATTCTTTGCCAGTCTGTGTTCGCCTAAGGGAACCTGGACGTTTTCAAGGCCCAAATGACTGGAATGCTTATTCGGCGGCGTGCTCCGTATCTCGCATTATCACTTGTCCACCCAAACGAGCAGGCGAGCTAGAGCCTAAGCGGGCCCATTGCCAAAAAGAGCAGAAAAAACTAAGTTAAACGGAAACAAGTTATGGTATAACGTAGTCAACCTACACACAGAATTTACAAGAAAATAGTTAAGTATGTTTTTTTTTGGAATCCTAAATACATAGACTGAACTATGCAGATATATTTAGCAGACATTTCTGCTCAATGTTAGTATCTCTGGCTTTAGATTCCGTTGAAATCCCAGATGATTACAGTCAAACATATATACGTAATTAGAACGGCAGGATTGAGGAGCCAGAGAAAATGCGTTATTATACAAAATTAACTCTGTATTACTATTTTATTCCTAAACTCAATGCGGGTTGGCGGTTTCAAAATTATAATTAGAAACAAATTATAAGTCCAGGTTTCCTCACGATGTTTACCTTCACCGTATGTCAGTGGTATCTAAATAATCATAGAAAGTACATATAACTCGGAAATAGTCACATTGCTTGGTACTTGCCAGGTTTCGAACCCACCTTAACAACTACATGGCTACATAGCTGATAAATAATTATGATATCAGATTTGAAAAATCTTATGAGGCTCCTCAATCCTTACGTACCTACATAAAAAGCATCATATATATCATTGACCACAAGACGGTCACTGCTAAATAGCATAGGGTTTCCTCAGTGACTTCATGATTCGGCACAAATATAGGCCACGTACCGGGCAGTGCAGCGCAGGACATCCACCCAAAAGACAATCTGATAAAGGTCACCTTTTTTGTGAGGGGAAAATCGTTAAATGTCTTCTCCCAGGGTAGGGCAAGGAGCGTTCCATTCCACTTCGTTGCGTTTGTCCCAAAATACCCGATTGAACTAATGTTTACAGACGGGGCCTATAGGGCTGATGCTATGAAGATCCGCACATACTCATCGTTGCCGATATCGTGTTTCAGTTGGTTTCTTATGAAGCCTGTTGTGGATTGTAACTAATCGAATGGTCTAATGGCTCTATGAGGCGCGCGCGAAACGCAACGTCACTTTCGACATCTCAAATGGTCGACAAAGAATTAATATAAAAGACGATTTTACGTGACACTCATTGTGTTTATTATTGTTTGAAATTATAATTATAATTAACTATATATTGAAATCCAAGTTTGAAGACATAGGTCTTATCGGCCATTCAGGGTTTTTTATTCTGTGGTAGCTTAAACTCGGTATTTGATAAGACTTTTTCTTATTCTTGATACGGAATGAAAGAGGATTCGAACGCTGTTGGAGATCAGGTTGAGCGCAGAAACTGGCATTCGTGTAGGATCCTTCCATGCCTATTCCTAGAGAGAAGGTAGAAAAATTATTAGTAAAACTATGTACATTAAAATGAAAAAGAAATCTTTTGTGCAATTTGTGATTTGGATATCTTTTTTCAATACTACTTACAGTAGCAAGCAAGCTTAACAGTCTGTGGTAAATGTAAACAGAGATTTTCAGGAGAAATATATAGTTTTAGACTTCTTGAAGCTATTAAGAATCAGGCATTATGTATTATAGTATTTTATTATGATATGATATGTCGAAAAACGTACTGGAATTCAGAGCTGGATTTTTCAATCTCTCGTAACACAAAAACGGAGTGAGGCAAGATCTTCCTTTACAAGTATTGCAGTTAGGAAGCGATTCAGATAGTGATTTTTTCTTCAAGTTGCAGTACCGTACTTTAATATTGTCACCCATCTTGAATTCTGTCATCTGTAAAATTAATAGGATGTTTCTGAAGTGTCTTTTTGAGCCTTTTTTTAAAGGATTATTTCAAATACTGAAGCAGGTCAGAGCAGTTTTAAATATCTAATTTCTGCAGTTATAGGAGATGTACTTCCATCTCATCTACTAGTGGATTGGGAGGACTTGGGAATCAGTGTTTTAGTGGATAAACCCTTTTGCCAGGATATGACTGAGGCTTTCCTACACTGTAAAGAAATTACTTTCATAGTAGACACAGTGGCCTTCGCCACATTTAAAAAATATACTCCAAAAGGTCTAAAAGCAAAACTAGCAGTTTTTTTTGCCTTCAAGAATTTACATATTTTATGAGGAAAAATAATGTTACCTTTTGTGAATCAGACTTATTATGAAAATCGTTAAGTACACGTTTTAGGGAAATTATCTTCTCAATGGCGAGTGTTGTTGTTGTTGCTGGTATTGCACGTTTTCGGCATTTTGGACATTGCAGCAAGGGTTTTCAGCAGTACACTGGCAAGGGGGCGATGCTTTAGGAGCCTGGTGCTTCTCTCCAGAGATTAACTCTTCGGAGAATGGCATTACGCAGGGCAGACATTTGCTCTTCCGCTTCTTGCAGTTCTTTGTGCATGGTTCATCATCAGACATTTTTCAATTATTTTTTGAAACCATTTTTGTTGAATTTAAATGGGTGGGTATCGGTTTTGAACAGTTTTGAATGTCACCTAATCAGAATTTTTGAGTTGTGTTTTGGTTCGGCTGGATGACGGATAAACTTTTTTGGCCAGTATTTTTGTTTTATTTTTTTTATTTCATAACTCTTTTAGAGAACATTTTTTATCTGTACAAGTAGTTTTTATTGTTTTTGTTATTATAGAAGAATTAGCGGCCTAATTAATTGGTGACACTATTACTATTCATCTGCGGATGGGTATGGGTCGGCCATACGGAAACCGTACCGACGGTTACTGAGAAGCTGTTCATTCTCAAGTACCAAAGGAACTGGCTACTAACAATTGATACCATTAGTTTCGGGGGAATCTATGGCTATCGGTATGTATCCTCCCGCCGTCTTCCAGCGCCGGGACTCGCCTGAAGAATAGGAGAGCCGCAAAAAGCGTGTGTAGATCGGAGCAATCTCTGGAGCGCACATCTTCAACACAATGGGTAATACCCGGTCGGGCCAGGTAAAGGATGTCGATGAAAAAGAGTGCCAAACATACCGAGCTCTGGTGTAACCTAATATGCGTCATACAACACCCACATGGCAACACGACCGGCGGATCACGTCCCCGTCAGCCAATGTCGAATTCGACGCAAAGGTTTTGCCCAAAAGCTGAACCTTTTCTTTTGCGGCGTATTGCGCCAACGATTCTCCCCCCGTATGAAGAGGTAGAAATGATGGCCTGCAGAAATTGCCTTCAATAGCTTTGATGAGAGACCAAATCGCACGTGTTCCCAAAGAAAGGCGTTCAAGCGTTTCATCAATTCCACCGATATGGTTCGACTTGCCCCCGCTATGACTATTTTGAAGGACCTTGGAGAAAAGTTATACTCCTTTTTAAGTGCGTCTCGTGCCAACATTGCATCAGCCCAGGCTCGGTAAGCCTCTTGCATCCTGCTTGAAGGTTTTCTAGAAGAAGAGCCAAACCAAGGCCGATACCTGCCACTAACGTAACGAAAAGTACCATCCCCTGCAGCACAACAATAACAGAGTCAGCAGCGGCATTGGGATCATCCTGCGAGAAGCACCTACCCCTGGAGACGAGTTCGTCTTCAAGGGACGGGTAGGACGCAAATAATAGTCGTACGATGAACATTTTAAGAAAACATGGTGAACTTTGCAATTTCGAAGGTAGCAACGTATCTTTTTAAAGTTTTAAGAGGTGGTATACAAAGCTCATGTATACTGCCAGAAATAGGGATTTGTATTTGGTATGTAAATCGGCAACGCAAGCTGAACCAGCACTTGCTGGTGATGCCTTTTTTACCTGTATAATAAGCGACTTCACATGGACCACGTACTATGTAACATGTAAAGCATAGTTAAGAATAGTATGTTTTAAGTCCCTTTGTCGCTTTAGATTTATATTTGTAATCCAAAGCAAAGGAAACGATTTGATAACATTGATAGAAATAAATTTTGACAACTATAGTCATTGCTAAAAGTTTTGGTGTTATCCTGAGAGTAGAAAAATCTCAGCTCTCTCAACACTCTGTCAGTCTAAGGCTAAGAACTCACGGAGCGATTTTCGCCCGCGTCCGCTGCGGTTGCGGGCCTGCAGCATCTGTAGAATTCAAATATTTATATAAAATATTAAAGCACATTTCACGACGCGTTTTACGCCCGCGGTGTACGCGGTTGTATGCGGCTCCCGCTGTACCTACGGGCAACTAGTAGAATCGCGCGGGTCGCGGTTACCCGCAGCCTCGGCGGGTGGCACCCGCGCGCTTTGCGATTGATTAGCGAGCGACTGTGGGGGCCGGCGGGTCTTCTGTGAAGTAAATATAACGCAACGGCTCGTTTCTGGTGTGTGTCCATGGCGGTCTGGACCTCAACTGATCGTTAACCGCCCGTTTTGCAATCTTTGCCCGCAAACGTGGCGGGCGATGATCGCAACCGCGGCGGCTGTTTAACCGCGCAAATAACCGGTCTCGTGAGTTTGGAAATAAAACCGCAGTTCCGCTACCGCGGCGGGCACGGTTCAAAATCGCTCCGTGAGTTCTTGGCCTAAGTTAACATAAGCTGGTTCATGAGGAACGCCCGAAAGAGTAAAAGATGTTACCGTAGAAGAGGTTTTTTCAAAGATACCAAAATACTGTAAAAAATAAGTAATTATGTGTAACTACAATTGAAACAAAAAATAGCAACTTGTAAGATTTATTTAATCTATAATCTTATTTATAAGATCCTCGTCACTATCAGAGGCGGACGATCCAGATCGGGACATTGGTGATTGGGCTTGCCTTTGTTCATCGTCTGTAAATATAGACCAGATTTTGTCCTTGATTGTTGTCAATACATTAATTTCGGAAGATTTTATTGCATTTTCAATATCTCTTGGTTTAGATGGTTGAGGAATATCATATTCCGAACTATCATCGTTAAACGATCGTTTCATTTGAGTTGGTAGCTCAAAAATAAGAGACCTGCTAATAATTGATGCGGCAGAATTCACTTTCTCCATTGCAGCTCCGAAATATCCACTTGCGGTGTTTGGGAAAGGCTCAGGTGGTTGGCATGGTGGCAAGTTTCTATTTTCCGGAATTCCGTCTATGTTTATGACGCTGAATCGCCTTAGATTTTTAAAACTAGGTGCATTATTAGGTTCATCGCTTACTTTCTTTGGTGGTGGACACTCTGCGATTGCATCAGAAGCCGATTTCTTCAGCTTTTCAAACTGTTTTACACTTTCTTTCGAGATAATTGAAACAGCATCTTGTGTAGTTCTAAAAACTTTGCACATAAAGTCTTGCATTGCACATTTGAGAGTTGCAATTGTTTCACAATGCGCATCCAATGATGATTTACTGTGTACAACATTTAATTTCGTAACAGATTGCTTACTAGCTGTTTTTCTAAAGGATTGTCTACGTGATTGTTTCTCTTCTTCACAGGGGCAGCAACCACCGGTATTGGTCACATGTGGTGAATCATTTGTATTTTGTACTTGTACTAGTTGACTTTTTATTTCATCAACATTGCAAGGGGCTTTAGGATTAGTGTATGTGAAACTAGAACTTGAGTCGTTATTCTTTTTAAGAACACCATTTGAAGAGGTTCTACTTTTTACTTCGCCTTTAGAACTGTTTTTGTATACTTTTTTGTCAGAAATCGATTGTTTAGCAAGATTATCAGTGGGAGTTCCGGAAGGATTTGATTTGTATTGTTGTGGCGGGTTCTCAGATGGCCTGTCTTCCATTGCGTTTAATATAGTAGAACACGGTGTAGGCGGACAGGATCTAAGGGGGCAGCAGGGCTCAGGTGGGCACGGTTTGGGGGGGCACTGCTTTGCAGGACACGGCCGTGGTGGGCACGGTTCGGGTGGACAAGGTTTTGGAGGACACTGCTTTGCAGGGCAGGGCTTTGGTGGGCACGGCTCGGGTGGACAAGGTTTGGGAGGACACTGCTTTGCAGGACACGGCTTTGGAGGACACGGCTTAGGGCACGGTTTAGGAGGACACTGCTTTGCAGGGCACGGCTTAGGGGAACACGGCTTTGGAGGGCAAGGCTTAGGAGGGCACGGTTTGGGAGGACACTGCTTCGCAGGGCACGGCTTAGGGGAACACGGCTTCGGAGGGCACGGTTTGGGAGGGCACTTCTTAGGCTTAGGAGAAGGTTCACAGTAACACGACGGAGGAGGTGGAGGTGGACAAGGAGGTGGAGGTGGACAAGGAGGTTTCTCACAACAACAAGGTGGAATTTCTGTTTTTGAGTCACCCCTTTTCAAACAACTTTCCGATAAAGTTTTTAAAGAATCCAATAATGTTGAGATACAACTATTACTTTTAGATGATTGTGTATTTGATTCTATCCCTGATGGCCAGCCTGGACTACTAGACTTTTTTGAACTTATAAGAGGAAAATCGAGATCTTGTTTACCTATTAGGCATTCACAACAACACTTATCGGGAGTTTTTTTCCCACAGCGTGGCTTAGGACAACCTGGACATAGGCTAGGATCTGTTATTTCGATGCAAATTTTTGGTTCTGTTTGGCCTGGACAAAGCTTATAATTTGTTTTGGGACACGAATCGTTTGATTTTGATGTTTTGGTTTGCTTCTTTTCTTTTTTTGGACAAATGCAACATCCAGAGCCTTTCTTTGGACAGTCGTTGATATTCTTAGATTCGACAGAAGCTATTTCTTTAACAGAATAAGATTTGCACGAGTTTTTTGATTGTTGACTTTCTGTTGTAGATTGTGCTGTAGGACACTTATCTTTTTTGTCAGTTAGAGGCACTTCGTAGCAAGGTGGGTTATCAGGAAACTCTTTTTTAGCAGCCTTTATTGCATCGCTGATAAGTAACTTTTCGGAATCCGGACAATCCGGTGGGTAATCTTGTAAGAATGGTTTTATTACTTCTTTGCAATACCTGTATTTATTTGAGCAAGCATCATCATTCGGGTTGTCGCTGTGTGGGTGGGCTTCTTCAATTAGAGATTCTTTGACAATCGCAACTGATGTTGGGCATTCAGGATCCTGTATAATTTGACAAAATGAAAATACTTTTAATGTTCCTTCCTCCTTTTTGTCTAGTTCTCTTGGTAGCGGTAATTTGTATGATTTCACTGAGCATTTAGAGTCCTTAACGGCGTTAGCTTTTTTGGTTTGTGTTTCTTTGTCAACAGAAGCTTTGAAGATAGCACCAACTTCACAATCTTCAGCCCCCAAATTTTCAGGATGCATAATATTTGATAGTTCGAATTTGATTGGAATCGGGGAGAAAGTGTTTATTAGCTGACTTACATTTTGCTGGATATCAGAGAGCTGGAAATATTATGTTTTTACTTTGCCGATTTTGTTGCCATTTTTCTGTTCGTGGTTTCTTCTGTATAATGTCAAAAGTAATCAATAATGTGAAATGTAAAGACTAAACTATTCTTATTTTTTATCACCAAAAAGGTTATTTGTACAATTTGATGATGACTGGTTTCAAAGCAAAATGTTTGTAATCATCAAAAGAGTTTCTACGTCAGAATTCTTTTTAGAGATTTTAATGATAAAAAACATGGAGCTACTTTTAACTTGTTTTAACCAGAACTTGGACGTGGGCATGAAGTTACCGCACGTGTGCAGGGAAAAATTTTAATACTTTTACTTTTGAGTATAATTTTGGGGTCGGGTATGGCAAGAAGAGCAGAGACGAGAAGAGCTGAATATCGAGCTCAGTGGCGTGCAATTCAGAAGGCCCATGTCCAGCTGTGGACTAAATCAGGCTGATGATGATGATGGTGATGGCAGGCTCGAAAGGAAGACTAAATACATTAACGGTTTCTTGACACATATAGTTACCAGCTACTCCTACCTTTAGTAAGATGCCAAATCTATGAAAAATAAAATAAACTACAGTTTCAAATAATGATATAATTAAACTTTATTTCCTGCTCTTTCTTAACTACAAATTAACAAATAATTTTGTGTTCAAGCACCTATCGTTGTTACTTCTTTTTAAAGGTTTTTAGTTTTTGATTTGTTTACGAAGTTGTGACGCATGTCATATTACTGTTTATATTAAACTCCTTATGTTAAATCTTCTGATAAAAGACTATTTGAGACAGTGTTGTTAACAAGGATCTTTGGACTTCCTCTTAGCAGTTTCCCCGCATGTTGGTTGTTTGGCTGCTTTACAAAGTTCCAAGTGTTCCCTCTTCAGTCTTTCTTTTTGATCAGGTATAGCAGGAACATCTGCGCAGGTTTCTTCATCATCGCAATTTGGATTAGCACGACTTTTACCTTTTCTTTTTTTGCTCCCCCCACCTAGTAAAGTGCAAGGGTCGATGTCTCTGGGAGGACATAGATGATCACGTTTTGGTGGACATTCTTCCTTGATTGATTCTTCTGGTAGACATTCATCATCCTCGTCATCTTCCATATTTGTTTTTCTTCTTGGAGATTTTTCGATGGAGTTCTAACCTGATATTGAGGGAGTTTAAGTATTATGTTTTAATGGTGGGAATGTAAGCTTAGAAAGTATTTTATTGTAGCATTGTGACAGATGATGCTTATGACAGATGTAACTTTTTTAAGAATGACATGTGTAACATTATTTTTGGTTGTTATGAAAAGTTTTGATTTAATTACGATACTGGCCAAGAATTTGCAGTTGTAGAGTGTTTTGAAGAGGTCTGATAAGGTGGAAGCGTGGCTTCTGGATACGAGGATCATGGATTGGACCTAAAGAACGAACTACTTCAATGTTTTTAATGTCTACATTAAATAATACGTTCCGAAGATTGATATTATATCTGAATAGCGACTCGTCCGGTCATCGCACGGGTGCAATGCTGAAACTAAAATTCTCCTCTACCAAATATTATATACCGTATTATTATTAATATTATAGTCACCAACTCTTCTCTTGCTGCGGGTCGTCGTTAGGGTCCTCGTAAGACCGTTTGACAGATACCTTGACGAGGAACTCTTTGATTTCAGTCTTTTGTGTATATTGTCAGCCAAAATTGAGATACGATCAGTTTTATTTTCCATTTCAGTATTGTTTCTGGCGAAGTAACGTAGGTAGGTAGGTATAAAAACAATAAAATTGTTATATCACTACATAATACATATTATATAAGTCGTGATATAAGTACTACTTTACTTTTGACTGCACGTGTGGTGCGGTGGCCGTGCAACGTGTTCGATTCCCGCCCGGAACAACTCTTTGTGTGATCCACAAATTGTTGTTCCGGGTCTGGGTGTCAGTGTATGTGAAATTGTATGTTTGTAACCGCACCCACGACAAGGAGAAAATCCTAATGTGGGGCAACGTTATATAAAAAAAAATACTACATAGTTTAGTGTGCGTTACGCCAGCAGGAAAGTATCTCCTAGAGTTGGAGCTCTCTCTGTCCTTACGTCCTTATGTATGTGCATATGCCAAAATTTTACTAAAGGTTTTTGATGCAGTTTTTTTAGAGTGAAGGTTTAAGTGCAGATTGGTGAAATGCAGCATTTCACCAATGCGAAGTTGGGGCGGGTCGCATGTAAATAAAACAGCGAAATAGCAATCAAAAGGTATTTTTTTATAACGAAATATTAAAAACAGTTGCAATCTAACATAGTCAAATTAACAAATCTTGCTGTTCAAATAGATTCCCAGTTTGAAGAATGATAAAATTGTAATTACGACTAATTGGTAGAAAATGGTCGTATTATAGATACTTCTTCTTGAGTTTCGATCATTGTTTTCTAGATAGAGTGGGACGTTGTGTCCCGCGCTGGCAGCACCAAACGCTTCAATAATGTTCAAAGTAACATAAATGAGTAAATGTCTTGCTACTGACATTTTGAATTCTTCAAAGATACCTTTGAAAGTTTACAAGCAGTATCTAATACATTTCTCTCTTCAAAACCTTAAGCCATTTCATATTTAACAATACTCTGTATATCCTGTCTCTGTCCTTTTTCAATTCTTTTGTGTCATGAAGCATGGTATTGGTGTCTTCTGTAAATTTTTCAAAGCCAAACCGTATATACAAATCTCTAAGGTTCCTTTTGTTTTTGTTTCTATCTGTCACGAAGGTCGTTCTTGTGACGTAGGTGGTTTAGGCTTTTTGAGGCCTAGTCTCTTTATGTGCTGTTCTGTTTTTCCTGCTCCTTTTTTCTTTTCAGCACTTCTCGCGTTTTCTTTGTGAGCCAACCCACTGTTAAGAAGGTCTGGATCAGTGCTCGTAGGATTAGGTTCGCAAACACTTTCTCTTGCCTTCTTCTTCTTTTTTGGAGCCATTGATTGTATATCAGAGAGACTTTGCTTTCAGGAAAATTTATTGCACTTTGAATTTTTTTTATAATATTTTTATATTTTCATTTTCAAGTTTTGTTTTCTGGTTCTGTTGAATTTTGACGTTTGACAGCTAACGGTTTGAAATTATTCTCTTTTTCTTATTCTTTTTTGATGACGTGTTTTGTAAAGAGGTTTGTTACATTCGAGAGAAGAAGGTTATAATAAGGATGTCGATAGGGTATGAAGATAAAATTCTTATTAAATTAAGATAAAGATTGTAGATTATTTTATTATTATTGATTGTAGATTATTTTTTAATTTGTCGTTTTCTTTTTTTTTATCCACATTTATTTACGTGGTTTTTTTCTTAATATAAAACTTTGTCGTTTATGAAAATAATAATTTGTATCTCATCGAAAGTTATATGTAGTTTCTATGATTATTTAAACACCACTGACATACGGTGAAGGTAAACATCGTGAGGAAACCTGGACTTATATCTCTAATCATAAGTTTGAAATCGCCAACCTGCGTTGAGTAAGTGTGGTGATTAATGCACAAACCTTCTCTATGTGAGAAGGTTTTTTTTCTCAGCAGTGGGCACTTATAGGCTGATGATGATGATGATCTCATCGAAAGTATATGATATCGAGAGAAATTAAAAAGATCACAAAATAAGTGTTTTGTCTCATTTTATACGTGCCTACATTAGTTGAAACATCCATTTCTGTGTAAAAAAATATATATAAATATTAAAAAAAAAAACGTCTATTACGTACTCACATACATTTGTATGTATGTTTCATCAAATCAAATCAATTTTGTATTGCTTAGCTATAGAAAAGAAGAGTGGAGTTCCCCAACACAGGCCTTATTTGCTTAAAGGGGAGCTCCAAATACTAATTCAATGTAAAATTTTGGAAAAAATAAACCATTTTTGTATTAGTCTATTTACAAGGGCATTGAAAAAAACATATTTTTATAAACTCATATGCTTTATTTCGTACTGGTGCGTTTGCCTTACAAATATACCTATTAAAAAATTAAACAGAAAGTTCCATGTATTTTTTTAATAATTATTTTAATCATTTATCTATTATAATGACGATCACTAAACGATATGCTTTCAGAAATTAAAAGCAACACCAAATTAATAAATAGGAAGATAATAATGCAAAAATATTATTATTATTATTATACAAAATGAGTAGAATACTCTGTACAGCTCAGACCTTTATCTAATAAATAAAAAATATTATAGATCTAAATAATCAAGAAAACATAAAAAAAATGTTTAGTAAACAAAAAAGACTTTAATTTAATTTAAATGTATTTTATAATTATTATTTTTCAAATGATAATAAAATGTAAATTTATTTAAATGTATTATCAGAAAAAGGCCCGCTATTTGTATCTTTGGTGATCAGTTATTGCTTTCTTTCATATAAAATATAAACTATTATTACACTGCGCTGTATAAGACATTACAATATTTTTTTTAAGTCTTTGGCGTTTCTCTAAACTGTATGACGTATGTTTTAAAACAATATTAAAAGCATGCTCATCGGGTCTGAGAAAATAATAATATTTACATTTACAAAAAAAAATCTCAATAATAACTTTGAGAAATATAATATTCAATAATAATAATAATTAATGGACGGAAACGATAAGATTTGATAACTAATATTATTTCACAATAAAACAATTATTTGAACTTATTACGTTTACATAATTATGGCATACAGCGTGCTAATTTGAACATGCTATACACGTATAATTAAAAACTAATCATTTTATATAAAAAGTACAAAAAAAACACGAATAATCTCATAGTAATTTCAAAAATAATCTAAATAATATTTCTTAGCATTTGACTTGCATAGTTTGTTAAACAGCTTCATCAGAAGGAAATACATTTAATAACAATACAAAGAAAATAAATTAGATAACTTACATAAATGATAACGATTTTAAATGTAATAATAATAATAAATGTAAATTCTTCATTCCATTGTGCACAGAGGACAGCTTAAATAAAACTAAATGGAAGTTTGTAAAATAAATGTTACACAAAATTATTCACTACTTTGTAACTATGTTGAGGTAAAAAAAGAGAATAAATCTTAATTCTAATAATGACATTAAATGAATTACATATAAGTTTTCATTAAAATACATTATTTACACCTTATAGTAGTGAAGTAACTTTGGCTCTCTGAACTTTCATTTAATTAAAGATAATGAGTATAAATGAATTACATTTTTAAATGTTCCAGAAAGCAAAAGTCATAGTACTGACCTGAATAAAATTAACAGAAATAATAATTATAATTAGTAATTATTTAAGGACAACATTGTACAAATATATTAATTTATCTACAAAAGGAGATTTTCTATAGGAAATAAAACTAATTGTCTGACATGATCGATCGATATACATTTTAATTTTTTAATATTAGTGTCCGTTTTTTATCACTTGTGGTTTTTCGTTGTTATCCGCCGAATACTACTCGCACGGCGTACGTTGATATCTGGAATAATAAAAAAAAACATTTTTATTTTTAAATGTTTTAACACACTGCAATTAATTGTTACTAGTCACTTTGAAGCGGCGGTAAACAAGCTTGGGCCACTCTTAGGTAAGTAATCGTCAACGCCCATGGACGCTAGTAACTCTAGAGTTCAATGTGTGTTGCCAGCCTTTTAGAGGGATTGTTTCGGGTTGTAAGGATATAAAGATGAATACAAGTAATAGGGAACGAATTATATTTAAAATACTAAATATGCTGGACCAAAAAAGACAAATATTTTGTTAGCAAGAAGTCAATTTTGATGATAAAAGCTGGTTCGATTTGGCTGAAATCTTATATCAATAAATGTATAAAGTTCTTAAGGCTCTTTAACCTGATTTATTTAACTCCACGAAATGTTAAATCAAAATGTTAAATACGAAGCACATCTTTTTACAACAGAGCCAAACTAAAATAAACATTGCTATCGGAATTGTTATACATTACATCAACTTTATAATACAACTAGCTACGCGCGGTTTCATCTGCTGCTCTCTCCTTTAGATCGCAGCGTGATGATTTATAGCCTTCCCCGATAAATGGACTAACTAATACAAAAATAATTATTTAATCCAAACCAGTAGTTTCACAGATCAGCGCGTTCAAACCAACAAACTTTACAGCTTTAAAACTTTACAATTTTAAAAATAGAAAACGGTTTAACCTGACCTAAGCTAACTCATTTCAAAAATCCTTTTTGCACAAACATTTTTAAGACAATCGTCAACCAATATTCTAAAATCAAATTAATCTGTACAGTCAAATCGATGCTCACACTACAGAAAGTGCCCCCATCAAAGTTTAAAAGTGCTCGTAGTAGAATGAATCACTTAAATTTAATGTGCTGTAAGTTATCCTAGCCCTTAGGGACCCCACCGTGCCCTTTGTCAGAGCCCTTTGGGACAAATACAGGGATAGTAACAAATGTACTAGCGTAGCCCCATTGTGTACTGATTTATTTTTTGTCGATTAATTTAGTTGTAATGATACTTTTTTAACTTGTTGACAGTTTTTTTTTCTTTATAGTACCTATAAGGAGAAATTATTTTTAATATATATTTTGGGCGTGATTTTTGTGTTGTACCTTTTCTTTTTATTATTAATATTGATTATATTTTTGTGGGAGTGAGAAAAGAGTTTTGTCCTTTTTGCACTTTATACTTATAATTAAAGGATAGATAATTTGTTCCTTTTTTGTGAATCGATAGTTTTTTCGGCTTGTTGCATATAGTGTAGAAGCATATAGTGTGAATAGATAGAAAGTATATAAATTAAACCTTCAGTATGTAAATTGCAACAAATAAATTAGGAATCATAACTTCAAAATTGCACCTTATAACTTGATACATTGAGATAACTTTTCATCTAGCATGATCATATTCAAACAAAACACAGTCGACAACATGCGACAATATCCGACCCTAAATGAAGGGCTATAAGCAAAACGTCTTGTTTAGTGAACAAAACCAATGATAAGCTTTGTGGTATTGAAGTTAAGGATCATTTTCGAGTGGTATCGTGTTTTATTGACGCAGAAATAAGTTTGTATAGTCGAGTAGCTTTGATGTAGCACCTATGGGATTGGGAATTTGTATCTAATTTGATGGTGGAATCAAAACAATATATTCTACGAGACATTCTTTATACTCGTATTGTTGATATGTCAGTGAATTTTACGAGGGATTTGATGGCAATGCCATTTTATTATTACTAAAGGATTTTAGATTTTATTGGAAGGATTGAGATACTTTTCAATAGTATTTTCAGGAAATTCGTTATAGAATAACGTTATTATATGTGTTTGGAGCTGCACTTCAGATTCCTGTAGTTATTTTGCTGTATCAATTAAATGTGTGTCTTTTTATTTTCATTATTTAAGTTGAAGTTCAATGGTGATGATAAAAATAATCAAACAGATTTAACAAAATAAATTAAACTTCCTCGATTTTACAGAGGCTTTCAACACGCCACACACATTAACTTCTCAGAGGATTTTACAGCATTTAAATCGCTTGGTCGTTTAGCAGGCTCTGAATAACAAATGGCTTTGTGTTGGAAATAAATCTGATCCGTTTATCACTTAGAGAGGCTCGTACGGTCAGTTTTTAGAGAGCGTACCTCAGGGAAGCGTTTTAGCACCTGTATTCTGTTAATTAATTCGAATTGGTGGTTTTATTTGATTTTAATAGTACTACTCTTTATCAAGTAATTTTGATAAACATGTTGTTAGAAATAGGTATAATTATTTTTACTAACAAATAATATACTATTGATATAGACAAGTATTAAGTATTATTTAAAAAGTATTTTTTTTAATTGGTTTTGTAATTTCTGTCAAATAAAAAATTATCTTCACTCTTATCTTCTTGCTTATTCAATAAATTATTGACTTCTTTTTTATAAAGTTGTCAATAAATAGTAGAACTTACCACTTGGACAGAAGGCCGGTGGCAGCAGAATGCGAGTAGGGTCCTCCGTATGGTGAGTACTGTGAGTAGGGTGCCGCGTATGCATATTCACTGGCTAATGTTGTCGTACCTGGAATGAAAGAATGTTTATAAAATTTTTGTTCTCTGTTTTATTAATTTAGTCATGATATTTTTATTCCTCTTTATTTATTTTATTTAATTTACTATATGAAACGTTGGCATTAATTCATGTTTTACTATCTTGCTGTGGACTTAATTTTGAACATAAACGGTATTATAATTTATGGATCGTACTATTAAGTTAATTAGTAATAGACCTGCAATATGTAGCGCAGTATCCGATATTATTTAAAATTCTATTTTTGTTTTAAATTTTATGTCGAAACATAATTCCTATCGACAATATTCCTATAGACATTATATCAAAACCTCTAGTATTAAATTGACTGCACGGTTGACGCGGTGGCTGGGTAACTGGCTGCCGCGCAACGTATCGCGGATTCGATTCCTGCACGGAACGACTCTTTGTGTTATCCACAAATTGTTGTTCCGGGTCTAGGCGTGACATGCTTAAACGCATCCACGACATAGGAGAGAATCGTAGTGTAGGGCAACGTTTTATAGAAAAAAAAACACTTCCAATTCACATCTCTTTCCACCTCAAATGGTAACAGCACAAATACGGTACTGACGATACAAATCGAAACAAAGCAATTTCCTTTCCAACAAAATAAAACTTCCTCGTCAATAAAAAAAAAAAAACTATAAAAAAATGTTCATACTTTCAACAACTGTCCTTCTAGTGCTGACTTCCTTCCTTCATAGAATTAAGGAGGTACGTCATCTAATGATTAATGATCAAGTCTATTGTTTTGTCTGATGAGATAATCGTTTTTAGTCGAGGGGAGTTCAGTGAGTGAAACTGGATACTGTTGAACAGGCTATCGAAAGTTTAGAACTATCAGTATTTCAGAGGGACAAAAATATTGCATCATAGTGTAATACATATAAGTTTTATTTTGAAGAGGCCCTGCGCTATGTATACACTAAAAGATGGCTCTTTAAATAATTTCCAAATGACAGCAAAACAAGCGGTATTCAAATTCATGTCCACTAATTGTACCTTTTAAAAAGTAAAATCTCAGACACTCAATACCCATGGCTAACGAACCAGTGCGTGGTTTAAAAGCGTATTAAGCATACATTAAACATTTATTAATTATTCATTAAATCGGTACCATCACTTAATAAATAATCCAACGTGTTATTTATAACCATCATCCAATTTGATCACTCAGTATCACCACTCAACATTAATAGGCTGTGCCCGAAGCGGCACGCCTCAAACAAATTTAACACTAACACGCCCCCTGAACACTTACGCGTAACCACTTGCAACCTCCTCCCACCCCGGTTTAATATTTATAAACGTGAGCCTAAACCCGTTTGAGCCAGCAGCACTTCTGTTCCGCGGGCTCTTGTGCCGGTTCGTTAGCCCAGACAAAGCCCGTATGATCCCCCACCGCGCCCCCCTCTAAAATTATTTGCATAGAACCCCGAATGAGCTATTAAAGATGTCTGCTTACCCCCCTTACCACCCTCTGCCAAGATAAGCAGATTGCGGCAGATTAAAGACCAGAAGCGTAAAGAGCAGCCCCCACACCGCTCCCTGTGGCACTCCATTTTAGAATCTCTCTTTAATATGCATAAGTGCTAAAACTGTGGGCGCTGTATGAAATTTTATGATGTTATAACACAGAGAGCATTGCGGGGTCCAAGGAGAAAATTAGATTTCCGACGGAATGGCTCGGAGTGGCTCACTCGACTTTGTCGAAAGCTTTCCTGAGTATTTTTTTCTCGCTTTTGTTTTCTCGACAGTGATTCTCGCTGTTTATCTGTTTGGCCACTTTTATTTTTGCTTTCATTGTTTTATTTCTGTGCGTGGATCTTTATTCAGGGGGAGATTCAAGTTAAATTGTCGCGTTTTTATGTTTTGTCTAAACGATAAGAGGATGCTAACATATTTTTGTGTGAATTATTTGGACATTTCCTGAGAAACTTATTTAGAAATATTCTTTTATTCGCATACTTAATATCTTATATCATACTTATAGCGATGTAGCCTTAGACATAAGACGCATGTTTTAAACATGGCTTTATGGATATAATATAATATGTAAGAATTTTATGAATATGACGTCTATCAAAGTAAGTATGTAATTTACTTTATGCTAATGTTATGTTCTAAGGACGTTCTACGACATGCTTGTCTGTTTTAAGTAGTAATAAATACATGTGTGGCCACATACTCGTTTATTATAATTCCTATCTTTTATAATCGAGGTAAGCAGGAAAAAATCCGAAATGGCTTCTTATTTTATTTTATAACTTGATGTTTATTACAAAAATAGACGATATTTTGGGTTGAAGAATGATCTGAAGCTAAGCGATACTGTACTAACAACATCCATTTCCAGTAACACTGGTAATATTACAATTAAATCCCATTAGAATCAAATATAAGCTGAGACTAGGAGTTACTGGCTACCTCCAATAATTCCTAGACACACTTTGCCATCTTGGGAAGATTGTTTAATTAACATACTCTAAAACTTTTTTAAACATTCACAATAATGATTGATATGTTGGTTTCTGCTCGGAAAAGGCCTTTTTCAAATCAGTCTTAGCTCTGATAGCTTACCTTAAAACGAATTAGTGATTTCAGACATTTCTATGTTAGACTTTTTCAATACCAATTTTTGTAATGTGTCCTCTTTTTATTTCTTAATTTTTTGTTTTCAACTAGTTAATAAAACTTACCGTCATAATGTGCGTACGGTGGATACGGTGGTGCAGGTGGCTGAAGGACGACCAACGCTGCTGCATCAGGACTTGCAGCTGCTGACGGAGGTTCGCCACCAGCTCCTCCATTGGATCCCGTGGAGTCATTCGTTGCTGTAACAATATCAAAATTTGAAGATGCTATGCTGTTTATCCTAGGTATGGTAATGGCGATTATTACTCTTGATCTGTTATTAACATTCAGGTATTTTTTAGTATATGTCTGAGTATACACTTTGGTTCATTTTTTTTACTTTCAAAAACATCTGTAGGTTAAGGTTTAGTTCTAATTATTGGCGTTAGCTCATCATTATCATCATCATCAACAACAACAAAGATCCATAAGAATTCACTGTCTATGGCTACAAACCAGGGTTCTTGGATACACTCTAGTTAATTTATTATTTAAATTTTATACAAAATTTCTACTTTTTTCCTTCATAAAAGTTATTTGTATCTGAATGTTAATAGACCAAGAGTAAAATCGTCGAATATAAGAGTCAGCTTACAGAGTGGTTGCAGGGATGTTTGACTTAACGTGGGCAGTCGATTGTGGGCTGCCAAAGAGGAAACTACACGTTATTAATTGGTCACATCGTCCTATGGTGAACGGTTTATTAATATTTATAATACTTTTGGTGTTTTCATAATTGTACTCATTATTATGAGCTTTGTTATCAGCAGCTTTGTTATCTGGAGTTGTACACGTAACACTTGGACTGTATTATGTAAAACAATTAATTTCTTGTGTAAATAGACTTCTAAATAAATATGATTTTTTGTCGTCAAAAAATCTTTTAACTACTCCGAGAAGAAAATAAATATATTCCATCACATTCACAGCAACAAAATTATTTGATTTCAAATTGTAAGAGACATACATAGTGTATTTTACTAGAACCTCAAAAAATAAAGTTAAAAGAACAGAAAGCAACAGACAAAACCGCAAAAGAGTTTTTATTTTTTACACGATTCCCAGAGACTATTTGATAGCTTGAATATCTCATTTTTTTATTTGCATCCAAAGTTGAAATAGCTATTTGAATACATGCAAATCAAATGTAAGACCAAGACAATGATTAATTCTAAGTGCAATATGAGTAACAGTTACAACATCATAGATTAATTTGTTAATTAGACCGTGACAATTATAGTCAACAGTGATTTTATCATCGCTAGATGTATTTAAAATAACATCTAAGATGCAAAACTGATTGTAATGTTACGTTGTTTCATCGAATACATGTAAGAAATTTATTTTGAGGACCCGAATGAATGCGCTTCGCTCGGTATTTCTTGTACCTACTGAAAATTAACCCTTATAAGCTTTATTTTTCCTTCCCAAAAACCTTTTTTATGGGGGGGGGGGGAAATTCATCGTATGACTTCTCTTGTCTCGAAGAGAGAGAGAGAGAGTGCCAGACTCTTTCTGACTCAAATCCCACACCATTCCTTGTCCAGGTACATTTTAGGTACTGCGCTCGGCAGTAGATAGGTACTTAAACCCCAAAAAACGATATCGAAAACACATTTTCGAAAGACGCTTTTTCAATAGCCAGTTTCCTATAAAAAATCACACATGCTTTTTTGCAACCAAAATTCGAAAATCACTCCCGAAATTAAGTGCGGATGAAAACGAATAGTTTTCAGCTGAAACCGTGAAAAAGCTGATTCTCAGTGATTTACGTTGGCAGTATAGCATTTTGTGACCACAGACAATTTATGACTGAATTTAAAGCTTTAAAAGATTTTTCAGTGACTTATATGTTTGTTGATGGATTGTTGACTGTAGATGATTCATTGGTTGCATGTATTAACGTATTTTATTGTAATCCAACTGTATGATGAAAGATAAGCTAAGCAAAGGACTCTTCTCACACGGAGAAGATTTAAGTATTAATCGCCATGCTTACTCAAGTCGGATTAGCGATTTAAAACTTGTAATTGGAAATGATAAGTCCAAGTTTCCTCACGATGTTTTCCTTCACCGTATGTCAGTCCTATCTAAATAATCATAGAAAGTACTTAAGTATAACTCATAAAAAGTCCAGGTTTGGAACCTGCACCCTCAAGCATGAGAAGCGGGCTCCCTAAGCAACAGGCTACCACGACAACTAGCTCTGGATTATAAGTATGTTATTTACGACCCGAGGTTGCAAGTGCAAGCATGATAACGTATCGCGGCTCGGAGCAGGAGAAAGAATGGTTTTTAGTCAGTAATAGTTTGATCTTCTCTCCCCACTCAGAGCGGTGTAAGGCCTCGTTTACATTTAAGCAGCGCGTTGTGCGGTGCGATGTACGGTTCGTCATACATTGCTCGTGATGTTCATATGTTTGTATTTGCACGGCCGTTAACACGACTTGATGCTGTAATGTACGACAAACGTAATCGAGACCTAAGACCTATTTGAGCGTAATAAGCGACATCATAATATAAGAAGTTAGACTAAAATTCCAAGTACGAAATTCCAGTACAGACTCACTACAAGCATACTCCAAAATCCTATTGCCACTATAACCCACAAAAATCCATGTCAAGCTAACTGTTATGGCATGCAGGGTTGACACCGCAGGCAATTTTCAGGGCGTGACAAAATATCATATAATGACGGTGTTTGAATGGAAAATTATGGAGTCGAACAAAATTGAGTAGCTGTATTCTTTAGAAGCATCCGTTAGTTTTGTGAACCTTATTGTTTACTGGGTCTTTAGACTAATAGTAGTAAACGCAACTATTGAACTAAGGGACTCCGGTCCGATACCCGGGTCGTGCAGTGTGTAAAAAGTTGTTAAATGTTGTACCGAGAATCCGATTTTTTTTCAGTGTATGGCTATAATAGCAGGTAAAAGTAGTTAAGTGTACAACACTGCTTATCCTGCTTATCTTTTATCTAGAATATAATAAATAGCCCTAGTAAACGCTACTTCCTTTACTTCACTTTCAAAAATCTGATCTTATTTTTATGGAATAGGTATCAAATGAGCAGACGTACTTCATGTTAAGTAATCAGTGCATGCGTGTATACCTACTTGCAACAGCAGAAAAGTCACATGTGCCTTACTGGCTTTTTAATCTATGTCTATACTCTAATCTATGTCTATACTCAATTATATTTACATCAAATCGAGTCCAGCTGTTTAAAAGCAAAAGCATTACAGAGATAGTAAATTTGGTTTTCTATATTAATATTGTAAAAAAGAGTTGTTTGTTTTTTTGTTTTATCTGAATAGAAAAATATGTCACAATTGAGAAGCTACACTAGGCTATAAAGCACGCAGGTGAAACCGCGGGGCACAGTTAGTCATTAATATTAGGGTCAATAGGGATAACAGTTATTTTAACTGTTTAACGATTCAATAGTTAATAATAATAATAATATAATAATAAAGCATTTATTTCGGACAGGATCCATACAAGAGTTCGATATCAACATCATTAATACGATACATCAAAATTTAAAATGCCTCACACAGTAAAATCAATTATTAACATTGAACTAATCTGTTAAAAATCCATTAAGTACTTCAAAATCCACTAATTAAATAAAATTTATATTAAATACAATAAAAATAAGTACAATTAAATTTCAATAAGTTAGTAAATAAAATTCTCAATTAAAATGTAAAAATAAATAAAATTCCCAATTAAAATGTAAAAATAAAACTAATTTTAATTAAGTGTCATTAAATTACGCCAATACCCACCCGCACCCAGTGCTGTTGGAATGGACAATCCCATCGTGAGGCAATAAGTTTCAGGATGCTGTTGCCGCTGTCTCGTAGGCGCTGCAGTAGAGATGCTGCTTTTTTTCGCATTAATGCGGGAAACCCGTCAATGTTCGCTACAGCGAACATACCCGAGGCACTGCAGCGCCACGGCAACCCCAACAGCATCCTGAAGACATTGTTATATTGGACGCGCAGGGCTCCGTAGGCACGTTGGGTATACCTCACCCACAGGCCGCTGGTGTAAAATGACGTACAGTATGCTTTGAATAAAGCTATTTTGACTTCTGTCGTGCAGCCAGCGAACCTGCGAGCCAGCATATTGCCCCTTACCGCCAGAACCCTACGCTCTCTCTCAATGTCCTCGTCATCCTTTAGATTAGGTGTCACAATGTGCCCAAGATACTTAAAACTCTCAACCTGTTTGAGTGTAGTACCGTTCAAAAGCACCGGAGGAACATGGGTGGGGCAATGTTTACCCGCTCTAAATATCATTAATTCACTCTTATTAGAGTTATATTTTAACCCATGCTCCATCGCGTACTGTTCACAAATTGACAATTTAAGCATTGGTATTGTATTGTTCTTAATCTGTTTTTCATTGTTAAAGTTTTTCAATGGTTTTTCGGTTCAATTGCTATTATTGTTCGATATTACAGAGGTTGGTAATAGTCAAGCAGCGTAGTGCGGATTTTTAAGTTCAATTCCTTGGTTTTCTTATTCAACAAGTACTAAAAGTTTTTGACAATCCAAACTAATATTAGAAATGATAAAGTAACTCTGTCTGTCTGTCTTTTCATCACGCCTAAACTACCGAACCGATTTGTGTGAAATTTAGTACAGACATAGTTTGGCACTCGAAAAAGGACATAGGATAGTTTTTATCGCGGAAAACTAGTAAAAAATAACCTTATGATGTAACATGTAAACCTTTCCATTCACATCGCATACAAGACAAACAAAAAACATAATAAAACAATATAAACCACAAAGCTTTTAACCAAGGAAATCGGCCGTGCGCCTGCGCGCTGCGTCTACAATAGAACTCTTGCGCATCAAATTACATACGTCATGATATGCGCAAACGCATCTTATGTTACTGAGAGGGATCTACGTGATCCATTCACACACGAGGATGTGGTCAGTTCTATTTTTGTGGGAGAAAGAAAGTGTTAGTCTCATTGTTTGATTTGAGTTTTGTTGTCAGTGAATGTAAAAATAAGTTGAAGAAATTGACATTATATCAATTTTAAATCTTCAAGCTGAAATAAGTGGTAATCTCCAGAACGGCTTGATCAAATTTGATAGTCTCTATGTCGAGGCTATGATATAGGTTTTAATATGCTACGCTCTGTTTATGATTTGGTAATCTTTATACTCATTTGTTGTGCGACATAAAACGTCAGATGCAACGATTTAAAGAAAAAGTGTCAGTCTGTAATTCAGTCTTCTAGTGAACCTATTTGCTCTTTCCAAAGTGTAGTTTGTTACGGAGAGGAATGAGCAAGAAGTTCCATGGTCATTTTTTTAATCAGTTTCATTATGGAATTCTTTGTAAAATTCTCATTTTTTTTTATTACGAGCTTTTGCTTGCGACTCCTTTTGCGTGGAATAGTGATTTCCTGCAGATTTTTTGGTTTAAAAACTATCCTATATCCTTTCTCGAGTTCCAAACTATGTCTGTACCAAATATCACAGAAATCGGTTCAGTAGTTTAGGCGTGAAGAAAAGACAGAGACAGACAGAGTTTCAAATCAAATTGGAACAGGCTTCAAAAATACATAGGTATCCCACAACAATTTATCTGCCATTCAATAAGAAAACAAGACTCAAAAACAAAAGTAAAGAGTCTACTATTACCATGAATGAACGGAATGAATGAATGAACGGAGCGAGCGGTTCCCATCGTCCCTGACCGCAACCCATTACGTGGTGGCGTCTCAATAAGTCTTGATATTGATTATTTTATAATCTGTCATAATCACATGGGAATATTTTGTATCGCAAAACACTAGACAGATTTAAATTTGAAAATAACTGACTGTGCTATTATTGTGCTATTATAAAACATGAGTAATTACAATGAAGGTGTTTTTGGTATATACAGAGTCTACATGTTTTGCCATTTATTATGGCGTACTAAATTAGTCACTTTAGGCAGACATTACCAAAATCTACTTGTACAACAATATGATCAAGCTTTGGATAGAAAAAAAATTGAAATGTCAAAGTTCGAATAAAAAAAAAGAATTGTAAAAAAAATAACAATTAAAATCATAAGTCAAAGAATTAAATTTTGTTTTAAGATTATGATTTCATGTTTATTACATGCATGGATATTGTCAATAATATTATTGAGGATGCTTTGTTTTCTAAGGTAAAACCATCCAATGACTTCTGCCTGCTCTGGGCGAGGCAAAAGGGAGTATTAGACTCTTAATGACTAAAGAAGACACTCCGTTCCTTCTCCTGCTCCGCTCAATGCCGTAGTACATGATTATGTTTTAACTCACAAACGTGGTTTTGATCTTGATAGATCAAAATTACATGGTATAAAACGAAATCGCTTTCACTGTCCCTATATCCCTATGTATGCTTAAATCTTAAAAACTACGCAACGAATTTTGCTGAGGTTTTTTCATAGATAGGGTGGAAGAAGATTTATATGTAAGTACATACAATGGCCGCGTGTGAGAGGTTACCGGAGGCCCAATCCTTCTCCGCCCCCAATCCCTAAAAGGTCGGAACGCACTCATAACTCCTCCGTTGCGGGTGTCCATGGGCGGCGCTGATTGCTTACCATCAGGTAATCCGTCTGCTCGTTTGCCGACCAATTATATATATATATATAAAAATGACATCCATTAAACAGTGGAAAGAGAGAATGGAAAGAAGAAATTATGTATCAGCATTGCAACCGCTAGAGTTATAATAAAGCTATTTGTTAATTATTTTATAAGAGATAATAAGACACTTATCATAATCATAATAAATCCATCTATAACGTCAAGCAAAAACAGCTTCTGTCTCTAAGAACATAAGACAGGTACTTACCTGAATGTGGAGTGTAATGAGGATGGGCGGCGTGTTCGTATGGAGTGTCGAATAACTCTCCGTAGTAACCGGTAGCGCCACCGGCGGCGCCACCGAGCTCTGATAGTAGCTTGTACTCGTCTTTGAGACTCCATTTTGAAGATGACCAGAGCTGAAAACAAAGGGTAATGTTAGTTTTATTGCAACAAGGCCGCCACAGCGTCTCAAAAGCGATGCAATACGTACGCAAAGATCACTATAGAGATTGGTTGAAGGTTAAATATGTAGATGGGACGCATTTTGTATTTCGTAGTTTCAAAATAAAATTGCTTGGACCACCTCAAGTTAAGCGGTTGCACTCTCACTTTTGAAAATATGAATTGACGATGAAAAGAATACAGAACGCGTGGGAATCGAACCAGCGATATGTAGCACGGCAGCCGGTTGCCCAGACACCTCGTCAACCATGCATTCGAAAGATCTTTAAAAAGATCTTTAAATATTATGATTTCATAATAAGAGTCTCATTGTGAATAGACCTTATCTCAGTTAGGTAATTCACAAGAGCAAGTCGGTTTTTTAAATAAAAATTAATATTGAACTTAGTTTTTCCAAGTTAACAATAATAAGGAACAAAGTGTACCTAGCATGGTTCCAAAAACGACGTGCAAACTTCGCTTCCTGTACTAACTATGATGCTACAAGAATTAAGCAAAAAACGCTACAGTCTAGACAATAAAAAAAACTTAACATCTTCTTGAGATGAAACTAATTACCTATCTTAAGACTATATTTACGCGACTTACTAATGATCCTTATGTATATTTTTTTTAAATAACTACCATCATTGATTTTTTTTTCGAGCGTTGTTATTAAAATGATTTTAGCAATACATTTTACCTATTTATTTGTCTCAGTTTTCTTTGTTTATACAAACACTTTATAGAAGTAAATGTTTTTACTCTGTGACGTAAAAACAACTGAACGGATTTTGATGAAAATTAACACAAAGAAATGTCATAGTTTTCAACCACACATGGGATACTTTTCATTCGCCTAAGATAGTTGAAAACGCTGGTAGAAGCTAGTGTCCCTTCAATTTATATTACAAGAAAATTTTGTATCTATTAAGTGTTTTGGTCTGATGCTAAATAAGACACAATAGGAAATAAACTGTCTCGTTTAGATCTAAGTTAACGTTGCCTTAACCAAACCACACGTAACCTGCTAAAGATTATCACAGATCGACGTAGATTAACTCGAATTAACATTCCGGTAACATCACATTAAACGCAGGACGAGCCGTACGTTCGGTGCGAATTGGCGCGTAAATTTCGGCGGCCATTGCACTTCGTGACGAATGGCGGCGGTCGAGAGCTAATGACGTCACATCCGCCCGCCATTACGTGCGTATAAAAGTACAATTAAATCGTGCGTGATTTTTGGATTGTGTTTATTGGTATTCTGTGGGTGTGGTGTTGATTGGAATGTTTGTGATTAGTTCAGCTTTTATAATCAAGAGATGTGTGTGTGATTGCCATGTAGGTATTGAAATTTAACTGAAGTAAGATATTCGAAAAAAGCCTTATATGAATGATCATGAATGGGTATAAAACCTGGAAAGTGTGACATTTTGTTGTAAGTTCATTTAGACACGAGTGAAAAAAGTCGTATCTAAACCTAGACTTATAATTTGTAATTACAAGTTTAAAATCGCTAATCCTAAAGCTAGTGTAATGATTTATGCTCAAACCTTATCCGACTAAGAAGAGACCTTTGCTTAACAGTGGGCACTTATAGGCTGATAATGTGATGAGTATTTATTTAATTGTCCAATTTGAGAAAATAAGACATCTAATCAAAAATTATCGCAATTTTTTCTTATAGTCAGCTTACTCCTTAATCATGTTAGATTCTAGAATATTCTAGGAATAATTATCGTATACTGTGTTAAGCAAAATTAGACTTTAAAACAAGAGCATAAAACTTACGTTGGAGTATATTTGATCGCCATTGTAATGACTTCTTTGCCTTTTAACGTCGTCTTCCGAATGGCTGTTGAAGTCCCGGTTTTCGTCTGGAACAAAATATTTATTGTTACAATGTTTTCTTTGATAATTCAAGAACTCAGAATATATCTTGACTGCACGATTGGCGCGGTGACTGGGCAACTGGCTGTCGCGCAAAATGTTGCGGATTCCCGCACGCGACTATTCTTTGTGTGATCCACAAATTGTTGTTCCGAGTCTGGGTGTGATGTGTATATGAAATTGTATGTTTGTAAACGCATCCACAACGCAGGAGAAAAAGCAAAGGCAAAGATTTCCTTTATTAAAAAGTCGTTCGGTTTAAAAAAAGGATGACTATAATTGATTACTGCTTTCTTATTATAAATAAGTCAAATAAGTCGAAATTGCCATAGGACACAATTTGCATTGTGTTTCACTGGGTGAGCAGATTTACCGGAGTACCCAATCCTCCTCCCAAACTCTAATCCCCAAATCTCCCAAGCCTCGATTCCATAACCCCTAGTGTTAAGGATATCCAATAACGAAACGTGCAAGACAACAATTTACTTTTAAAATACAAAAATATCGAAGTCAATGGAATCAGCTTAAAAACTTTTAATCAAGCATCAAAAATAATAAAACAAATTTCTACATGAAAAAGTTCGACTGTCTTTAAAATTAATCTCTACAAGGGCTCCTTTATCAAAACTGCGAGCTCTACGATCCGACTCTATGTAGAGTACATAGAGAAAAGTTGTAACTGATGTTAGTTGAGTGTAGGCAGTGAAGTACTCGCGGCCTCCCCCAGCGAGCCTCGTTTTATGCTCCCTAAAGTTAATAGGGAGGAGAAATTATCGATAAAATATATTATTTTATAAAAAAGGGATCTTAATTTTGAATCAACTGTTATAAAAAAAAAAATGGTTAAAATGTTATCGTTTCGTCATTTTAATCTTTCTTGAGGTTAATTGAACTCTAAATAACCCAGAACTAGATATAATTACAACTTTAACATTGCTATTTGATGTGATTTCAACAGATCAAATATTTTGTAGGTAGGTACACAATAAGTGCTCATGTTCCAGTAAGAGTATTTTAATAATGTATTTTAGCATACATCATCTATAGTGCCACACAGAATAATATGAACACAAATAATTTGCATTCCGTTTCTGAATAACGACTTAGAAAAGCTCTACTAGTTTAACTTTGTCAGCTGCGCTACGTCACAACGACGCGCACGCTTCTCATGAATAAGACTCCCGTTATGACTTGAAACTCGTCGAGCTTTATCTTAGTTAATTCACGTGAATAAGTTGTTATCCTCAATAAATCTAGAATGCCTCACTGTAGTTACGAAAAAAAAAATGTATCGTATCGATAAAAAATATCGATATTTTTCTACTCACTCGACCACATCACTAAAATCCTTTCAGCCGTAGTGGTGGGCATGGACCGAGACCGCTAAGATTTACTGTGCTATTAACTTTACTGCACAAATTGTGACCTTATTATTATAACTTCTATTAAATTTCGACTCTTGACTAACTCGACTTAAGATCACTTTTGCAAACACGTAATTTATAAGAAAACTAAGTTTTATTATTAGCTGCAAAAGGATTAAAGTTCTGTGCTTTGATTTATTTTCAAGTTAAAATATTGCACTTGAATTTTGATTACAGTTTTTCGAGGTTTGTATCGAATTTACTCCATTTAATAGTCGAAACATTAAAATAGAATAATAGTCCGTTAACTTGATCGTATGTGAAGCTAGATGCTCGTTCCAATGTGTAGATTCGAATGTTACATTTTCAGTTCGTCGAAGAAATTCAACACCAAAAGGTCTGAACTACCTTTTCTTTCTTTTATGTGAGGAGTTTCTCGTGGGTTCATTTACAAGCATACAATCTCACATACACATTAATTTGTGGAGCACACAAAGAGTTGTTCCGTGGGGGAATTGAACCCGCAACACTTAGTACAGCATTTGGTTGCCCTAGCAAACGCATCAACCTATAGTTGCAATGTTCATGTAATAAGCCTGCTCGTAAGATGGAAGTTTTAAGCAGATAACTTCAACTGATTGAGATACTTTTTATCAACAAACCACGCGTGAATAATAAAACTTCTACCAACTCACCTTGGTCTTCATGCCTCTTTCTCTTCAATCCCGTCGCGTTCCCATTGTGGAGACCCTCGACCTGCTCGATTCCTAGGATCCCGTTGATGCTGTAGCTGCCAGTGTTAGTGACATGCTGGTCCGGGGTCGGAGACAGCACAGCTGTCGTGCCGGGCGCGTTGCCTGCGTGGGTTATCACCTGAAGAAAGGTACGTGGAGTAAGATAATTGTGATGATGATGATGAAAATGAATGATGTACAGAAAATGATTCTGGGATTATTTTCAAGGTTATTGTCTGTTTGGTAAAGAGATTATAAGTATGATTGCTTGAAGGGTCCGATTCTCGAATCAGGAAAAGGATTTTTCAATGAGTGGTTGAATCTGATTTAATAAGAGTAACCATGGAGTTTTGTGCACGTTCTTCTACATCGGAATCTACGCTTTAGAACGAGCAAATATGTTCACTAAGAGGACTGACCGACTGTAACTTTTTCATCTTTTTTGATGTTGAAAAGTGCCTATTATGGTCTAATTTAAATACATAACTATCATTGGCTCAGTGTAATGCACGTGCGATGTTTTTGCATACCATTTTCGAAGTAAAAAGCTCGGAGTTAAGAGGAGTAGAAAACCCATATAAAAAAACATCATCAACATTTTCAAAATATTTAAGTAGTAATTACATGGTATAGAATTATCATTCAATAAAAAACTAGCTTCCGCACGCTTCTTCGCTTGCGTGGTATATTAATAAATAGAGTAGCCTATTTCCAATTCCGGAGTGTATCCTATGCCTGTGCCAAACTTCATCCAGATTCCTCCAGCCGTTTTGGCGTGATTGAGTAACAAACATCCAAACATCGTAACTTTCGCATTTATAATATAAGAAGTAAGATAAGATAGTAGAATAAAAATAATAATAAGCAGAATTAGTATATCCACAGTTATAAATCCACAAGTCCATAGCAACCCATACCTATAACCCTATCAATTTTTACCACATTTCACAATAGTCCTACATCAACCGGGGATTGTCCTTGGGTGCAAGTGCTTTTATAGTGCATACAGGGATAATTGCCGGCTGATGTCCCATCACATATAGATTAAAACTGTTCAACGGGCCTCTGCGAGTTGGCTTCGGCTCCTCGTACGCCTTCCAAAGGTCCGGGACCCTGTGGTCCCGAGAAAGGAAAGAACAAACAAATAATAACAAGCAGAGCTACTTACAGATACTACGCTCCCCTGCGCTGAGCTGATCTCCTGTTCCTGTTGCTGCTGCTGCTGATTGTGGGCCTGCTTCGCCTTCTCTGCAGCCTTGTTGCGAACAATCCTGGTGACAAACAGACAAACTTTTCAAAAACATCTTTTAGTTATCACTTCTATTTAAGAGAAGCGGTACGCTAGAAATATAATTGCTGATCATTTATGTCACAACGAATGTATCATTTTAGATAATAGATAATCGTAAATTGTAATTTTTTATTTATGTATACTTTATTGCACACATACACCAAGTATCAATATGTTGGATATTAAGAACGAATGTTGTGATTACAATGGACGGTCTTATCACACAAGGTGATTTCTTCCAGGCAACCTTTAGATGGAATGTATAAAAGAAACTTGGCCATGGGTAGTGTAGTGAACAGTTAAAACAAGTACGACATAAAGTATTTGATTATTTGTAAATACCTTTTTTTTAATGTAATAGGTCGGCAAACGAGCAGACGGATTACCTGATGGTAAGCAATCAGCGTCGCCCATGGACACGCGCAACGGAGGAGTTACGAGTGTGTTGCCGACCTTTTAGGAATTAGGGATTTAGAGATATAGGAACTGGGGAGGTATTGGGGAAGGGGAAGGATTGGGCCTCCGGTAACCTCACTCACACGGCGAAACACAACACTGTGGTTGTTTCACGCCGGTTTTCTGTGAGGCCGTGGTGTCACTCCGGTCGAGCCGACCCATTCGTGCCGAAGCATGGCTCTCCCACACTTAGCCTACCTACATGTATTAAGTGTGGTTACTAAATAAATGTTCAAATTTTTTGTAGTGTTTCGTTTGAAGTACCTATAACGATTAGATCTAAATAAAAAACAAATTAACATGTAGGTATACCTATTAAAAATAAATGAATACGTAGAAAAAATATATATATGTACAATTTTCGGTAAAAGAAGTTTGCAATATCAGAAAGAAATGTCCTAAAACCCAATAAAATAGAACAGGCGCGCAACAAATTCATAGGGCCATGATTCATATCTATCACAAATTTTAATACATTTGATAACTTAACAATTTGCCAATGACGACTTTTTAGGGACAATGCACTTCGGAAGCGCGACAAATCGTGGCGACTGCTCTCTATATTGCAAAAGGATGTCGAGTCGCGTGGCGCATAATTCATTGCGGCTTGTGGCATGCCGCGGGAAAGTGATCCCGGGACTTTTTAGTTAGCGAAGACATTTTTGAGGGGTTCTTTGTAATGGATTATTCATGTCATTTGCTCTAATTACAGATGATGATCTTATGGATTTTTGTATGATGGAGTGCTGACGGAAAATAAATTCTCTTATGATATTTAGTTTTGCGGAAATATTTCAAAATAAAACAGCTTTGTTTTTTTCATGTTATAGACCGGCAAACGAGCAGACGTATTACATGATGGAAAGCAATCAGCACCGCCCATGGACACCCGCAACGGAGGAGTTACGAGTACGTTGCCGACCTCTTAGGAATTAGTGTTTTGGAGATTAAGGGATTGTGGAGGGATCGGGGAAGGGGAAGGATTGGGCCTCCGGTAACCTCACTCACACGGCGAAACACAACGCTGTGGTTGTTTCACGCCGGTTTTCTGTGGGGCCGTGGTACCACTCCGGTCGAGCCGACCCATTCGTGCGGAAGCATGGTTCTCCCACACTTTGCTTTGAAATTCTATTGGAAGGATTTAGATAGATAGTTAATCATAAATGCACGGTTGATACAGTGCAACTGGCAGTTACACAATATGTTGCAAGTTCAACACATATATGAAATAATATCTATTTACAGACATATTTACCTATCTAAAAAAAATTTGGGATTTATGTAAAAAACTGAATGAGCATCTTTCTACTCGTATACCTATATGAAACAATACTTTAACTGATACATGTAATCAAACCATTTCGTATATGTGATTAACTAAGCTATTAATTGAGAAAAAATCTAATCAAAATCCTTCCTAAAACATGTCTACAAGAATGACTTCCATTTTATCTAGCCGCCATTTTGCGGCCCGTGACAGTTCATTCCGCCATGATGGATAGCGCGCTCCCGTGAATTATTGCCAGCCTCCTCGGGGTTGACATATGCAAAAATTGTTTAGTAAAAGTTATCAAAAAGGTGTTATTAGCTTCGTGTAATAGAGTCATCAGTTTTGGGGGGATTTTGGTGATTGATGCCGTGTTTGTAGTGTTGTGGCGTGTCATCGAGGTGATTTGTTTCCTTATTATGGAAAACATAGTGTGATGTAATTCATGTTTAAGTATAGTTTGTACAATCTTGTTTATTTTCGTTTGTTTATTAAGTTTGGCAGTAATCAATTCGCCTTGAGCAAGCAGCACGCTTGCTTAATGTTTAAGATCATACATAATCCGTAAGACAAAAGGCTTTGCTCAGTTTAGTTAGTAGTAGTTAGTTAGACTAGGCAGATGATGATGATGAGGGTTAAAGTTTGGTGAATTAAGAAGTAGATTTTGTGTGCAATTATACAGGTTTTTTTTTTTCAGTCCACTCATCCAGTACCTATCATCTTGTGAACTGTTAAGGTACACCCAATGTTTGGTTTGAAAGTAAACATCAGTTCAGAGAGTTAAGTCAAAAAGAATCGTTGGATTTTCGCTTGTATTATAAAAAAAGAGGTTGGTTTTAAACGACCGGATTACCTTGTAAAGCTAGTCTATATACATATTTATTTATTAAATTAAATAGGAAAACAGGTAATTTAACTAATCCAGGAAGCAACATAATAAATATCCAAAAACCGTGTAGATACGTACAAACATATACATATATACATATAAATATCGCAAAAAATGCAAAATGCTAACAATTGTAACCGCAAAAAGCGAGGTTATGATATCCGTTTCCGTTAGGAAGGGTTGCCAGTAAAGCCATGTTTTACCCTTTAATAATTTTATTACCCTCTTTTCATACGAGTGATACCACTGGCGAATATTTTTGATTTATTTTCTCCTGTTTCCCGTAATTTGCTTTACATAATGTTGATTTACAGAATTAAGTGGATGGGTTTCCGTTTTTTGAGGTTTTTGTGTGCTGGTAACATTGTTGTTGGGGATGAGGTGTGGATCACAGTCTCTGTATTTGCAAATTAAAGTAGTTTTTTTTAATGAACAGATTAAGTAGATGTATTCAATCCTTAGACCTTAATTTTTGTATTTCAATTGTGGAGTGAATACTGAGTGAAAGGGAACTTATGAAAGAGTAGGGAGGAACATATAATGAACTACTATGAACGATAAGAAGGGTAAGTTTAAAAGGCAAATAAACCACTTTCTGTATTTTTTCGTTTTTTTTTTGACACTTAATCCCACACAATTATAATATACGTTGAAGTCACAATAGGTTAGTCGTAAATTTCATTTGATAAAACAGGATTTCGCATCAGTAAAAGTATAATGATCGGTATTTCTTTGTAATATAATCTTACCTATCTTCTAACCGTATTCGACAAAAGTAGTTCTTCTATTGTTCAAAAATAATAGTTCAATCAACCTTTAGGTACTGGTTTTTCAAACAATTTATTTGTAATTCAATATAAAATGCCCGAAATAAAAATAAATATACCTAATCAATTTTGCATCGAATAATTCACCCGCTTTTCAGCCAGAAAAAATAGTTAATTATTTGACCTTTATATTGTGTTAAGAATATAAAATTCTCATAAGTCTTATCTAATTTCACACTTAATACAATTTAAATAAGCCTGGTTTAGTTCACGCGTTGACACCCCTCAAATTATTCCAAACTCCAGCAGCACTCAGTTCGCGTGGCAAAATAATCTAAATGTCAAACTGGGGTTGCCAGAGTTATAGCTTCAATTACCCGCCCGTCCCTCGATTAAAATGTCTTAGTGTTGCCCAGTAAGCTTTTTTTATTTTTCATTTTTATTTCTCAAAGGGAGATTTTTTGCTGAGTTTTGCATTTTGTTTTTAGAGTAGGTAGACGGAGATATATTTAATATTTGTTGGTTTTTTGTTTTATTATTATTTACTTAAACTTATCAAGTAGTCTTTAATTTATATTCATTATATTACCTAACAACTATTTATCTGACTTGATAAAGAAAAAAAATCGCTTTCAATACACTGCGAAACCACAATACCAATATGAAAAACTCTTTCATGATAAAAAGGTTACAATTACTTATTTTATTTCAAATAGTATAACGAAGTAGCTAGATCTAAATTTAAACATAACCTATTACAACCGCACTTTATTGAAACTCGAAAGTTATTATAACAAAAAGTATATTATAGGTAAGAGTTTCTCGTCTATCTATCTCTAAGATAAAAAGACCCAGTGATGACCTAGTGATGACATGACAACTTTCGATACAATACTGATGATATCAGAAAATCTAAACAATATTCCCCTAAATTACTCCTAAACACTTTTCCCAAAAATTCGCACTTCCACTCAAATAGGCACGATTGGGTCTCATGCGGTTCATTCCGAGTTCCGACACTGCGACATTACGATCACGTGTCGTGCTCGGGCCGGGCTCGTGTCGGCCACGTGTCGGAGCGTGCCGGGGTTGCCAATCACCCTCGTATTGAGACGGGATGGCTTTAAAATTAAGTCTGTTTTGGTATTTTGGTACTTTTCACTTTTGATTACATTTGATAGTTCGACGAGTAGTGGGATGAAATTGAGATATTTTATTAGTCTTACTTAGGATGGAAATTAATGTAATTTGCTTAGATTACAGTGAGAAGTATAAATGACATTCGCGTTTCATATGATTTGGTCTATGTTCATTTTCCCAAAAAAAAAATAGGGTTGTTATATAGATACATATGTATACGCATATGTATGAAGATAGAATATCTATATGTCGATGTCAATGTCTCTTAAATATCATTTGGAATTGTTTATATGTTGAAATGTATTTTATTAAAAATCCAACTACAAATACAGGCTACTCAAAAGTCCACCCTAAACATGAATTGTCGTAAGTAGGTACTTACATACCTATACAAAAATAAATCTACAATTTTGTCAATTTTAACGCATTTCAAACTGGTTGAAAGTAATGCGATTTAGTTGCACCCCTCGTGAGTTTTATTGATACCCAATAACTCTGGCTTATTGTCCAATAATGGACCCCATACACCCCGCTAGGCTCAGTACTTAAAGTGCATTTTGATAGACCAGAGAGAAAGGGGTCATTATTAACATTTGTAACAAATAAGAGGGAATAAAGTGATATTATTTTGATCTTGTGATGATTTTCTTTTTGATCCTTTTAACAAGTTTTTTTGGAAAATCTATGCGAAAATCAAAATTGTTTTTTTTTTATCTTTAGACGAACATGAGAGTAATGTATAATTGTTTAAGTGACTTTGAATGAGTAGGAGAACTGTTTGACGGTACAGGGAGCAATCGATTAGTCAGGCCACCTGATGATTAGCGACCCTATAAGTTCACTCATATGACGGTCCACCAACGAAAAAACGTAAACGTTGTCTATTAAATTCTGGTATCTACTCAGATCTAGTTGGGTCTTTTTAACATTAATAAATTATTAAACCAACTACCTAATTACAACAGTCCGAATTTGTTATCATTCTTAAAATACTTTTACGCCGTACAACTCACTTTTTGGCTCGACCGGGGTGATACCATGGCCTCACAGAAAGTCACCAAGAAACAAGTACAGCGTTATGTTTCGCCGTGTGAGTCAGGTTATCGGAGGCCTAATGACTTTTCCCTTCGTCCCGTCCTAAATCTCCGAAGCTTTAATCCCCAAAAGGCCGGCAAAGCACTTGAACCTCCTCTGGCGTTGTGGGTGTCCATGCTTACCGGCCGACGGATTATCTGATATATCCCGTCACCTCATACCTACATTTCAGCAGAAAACTAACGCTGACATTATCATTAGAAAATGAAATATTAAAAGATTATATCCGGTTGACACTTGAACTCAAGTGTTGCTAGCTTAAATCCGCAACTAATTGCGTGTTGCCAGATAAGATAAAACTACCCAGATTATGGGGAGTATTTTTTATCAATTCCCTGTTATTAGCATGTTCTGTGTTGTGTTGACGTGATGTAAGTAGGTAATCTATTTATATAATCTGAATTGCTACCGTTTATTAATTTAGGGGAGATATCTTTATTTGTTTGTTTGTTGAAAGGGGAAATTGTTTGTTTTTCTTTATTGCATGTTAGATTATGACACCTTTTTGTCACGTTATTCAGTGTTTTGTATCTTTTAGCCATGTTTCGTTGTTTCTGTGTGATCGTGCTGCTGGATGAGTTTTTTTTAATAATAATAATGTCTATCTGAAGAAAAACTTTGATATGTATATATGAAGCAGCCAGCCCGTTATTGTTGCTAATTCATATATAGGTACTAATATTTTAAAGAGGTATTGTTAGTTTGTAAGTTTGTTTGTACCAAAGTTCTTTTAATTATGTTACAATGTTCCTGAGTGCTATAGGCTATAAAACATCACGCTACGATCAAATAGGGCCGAGCAGCGGGCGAAACCGTGCGAGAGTTGCTAGTTATTTATACGAACAAAAATATTCAGAATTTATATTTATTTTCTGCCACCAATACACAGTTATAAGACTAATTGAAAACTCCTGTTCAGGAAACAGCGTCAAAATCGATCATAACCAAAACTCTACATAAAGTAGAGATGCGTCTCTATGTCCACCATAAAGTCATTCAGCATCTCTACATTTATATGAGAATAATAATTCAATGGAAGCAAGGACATCCGGTGCACGAAGCACGTGTCTCTACATCCGGTAGCGCCATCTTTGCGCCCCCATCCTAGTCGTTTCCGGTTCTGATCACGCAACCCCTTGATGGGCTATGAAAGCTGCGATTTTAGAAAAGTAGAGCGAGTTTGTTTATTAAAAGTTAAAAAAAAATTGTTTAAGAGAGAGACTATCAGCTAAATATTTTTTTAATATGATCAATGACTTACTGTTACAGGATAAGTCAGCTAGGGTCACCTGATGTGGCAAACGGCGTTTCAAAATTAAGCTTTTCTTCGTCGATATTTATCTCTTAATAAATAGTAGAAATATACTTAATATAGCTACGAAGCTAGTATTTACGAATTTGGTGTTTTTATTAGACTTTCCTAAAAGTAGTCTCCAAGATTTGTGATTGGGATATGATGCGTAACGATCCAAAAATAACTTTTATCTCAGAATAAATGTAAATATAAAAACACAAATAATATTCATGTATACCGGCCGAAATTTTTAGCAAACACAGACATGCCCGGCTAGCTCAGTCGGTAGAGCATGAGACTCTTAATCTCAGGGTCGTGGGTTCGAGCCCCACGTTGGGCGTAACTTTTTGTAACAACATACAATTTTTACACAACATTTTATTAGGAAAAGATTCATCGTACTTTTACTATGAGCCAATTTCGTTTGTTGCTAAGCTTTCATATGTGACAAACATATATCTTTTTCTCACTAAGCATCCATTTTATGGCCCCAAGTTTACTATTTTCTCCTTAACCGAACGGCACAAGCAGAAATACACCTTAACTCTTAACACGCACCGTTTAAATTACAATGTAAGCCAAAGTTTTTCCCGAAAGTAGGTAAATGTTTATTGGTAACATAAGAATAACATTGTTATTCGCACTCCGTGTTAAGTAAATAGGAAATATGTACATAAGTATATATAAGACTATTGTTTTTATTGTTCAACTACATATAAGTTCAGTATGTTTCACAACGTTCCAGAAGTTTCCATCGATAAAACTTTTTTATTGGGCGACAAGCGAGCTTCATTGAGAAAAATCTACAAAACATATTTATATCGTTATAAAAATATAACATAATTATATACAGACATAATATAATATTGTTATAGAAACGTAACATATTAAATTTAAATTTGTGTTTGAGTGCCGTAACCATTGAATGACTTCTCCCGCCTTGGAGCGACAGCGTGTCTGAACCAGAACCGAGCGTAAGGCGCGCACAGTGCGGCCGACGTATCTTGGCGAGTCTAAAGTTAGCCGATTAGCTGCGCAGTAGAGAATTTTGTTCCTAAAAGATCCATTGCGCAGACAAACGGCTAACTTCAGACTCGCCAAGATACGTCGGCCGCATTGTAGCTTTCCGCGCGCGCCACATACCACCGCAGACAGGATCACGGGATGTTCAGCCGGGATCGCGGGGCAAGCGCAATGAGGCACCGCAGCCTCGGCCCAGAGAAGGAGAATGAATAGGGGGTTTTTAGTTAGTAAGAGTCTGAAAATCCCTTCCCTCCTCCTCCCTGTTTTTCCCCTTACCAGAAAAAAGACATTTACGGACTAAAAACCATCCCATTGTTTCTAAAAATTGCCATTCTAACAATGTTTTCCTTGAAGCCTTGTAGAACAACAAAGAGCATAAGAAAGAACATCACTAAAAACGAACCTGTTTATACTGGAAACTGAAGGCACGTTATCCTGGCTGCAGATCCCCTCACTGAGGAGTCTGTCCCTGATCTCCCAGGCGAACATAGTTGGGTTTTCTCTCTTGTATGCTGCAATGGCGTCTACCACTGGGGGTGTGGCCACCTTCGGCTTGGAACCGCCGATCACGCCGGCCTTGAAACTTCCAGTCTCATAGTACCTGGGAAAGAAAGAAAGATTAGCAGGTGATTTGAAAGTATTTGGTCAGCTGTCATATAAGAGGTTAATCATCATCAGTGTATAAGTGCCTTTTCAACAAAGGCGTCTTTTCACAGGTAAAAAGCATAAATGTTGATCACACCCTAACCACGAAAAAGGGATGAGTACTGATCGCCTTGCTAGCTCAAGACGTACTGGCTATTTGGACGAAAATTTCAGTAGTAAAGCGTTTAAAATTTTCTTCATAATTTTTCATTTCCATAAGCTAATGAGATGAACAGCTGAAAATATTAATAGATAATGAACGCCTAAAGTCGTTTAAGAATAGGGAATGAACTGAAGCCGTTTTCTTGAGCTTGTGTTTGAAAATGGTTCTTATCGGCTAGTTCTGTTATTATTTAAAAAACTACTGACGTAAGCTCTTTATCACCTTTTTCACCAAATTCATAAAAGTTACCGAAATTTAACTGCACTTAAATGGTCCACAACCAATACGTTCTATATTCAAACTTATCTAGTCCGACTCATACATATGCTAAGTCAAGTTTCAATTCAAAATTCAAGTTGTCAATTCAAAACTCTAAGATTCTTAGTCTTGAAAACATAGGCCATCAACAAGAAAGGGACATTTTAATATAATAATAAATACTTCTTTAAAATTGACTCTCATTTCATAATTCAAAAACCAACACTGTCACAATGTACCCCTGTCCAAAATGACATTAAAAATAGCAACCATATAACAGCATATCAGTAAAAAATTCAATCAAAAATCGCCCGCACAGAGCTTTTTACCCTTATGGATACTTGGATCCAATTGTCATAATACTGTTCTTTATTTCGTTGAGCAAATTTAATTATCTTCAGCTAATGCCAGGTCCCAAAGGACGGGGGCGTGATGGTACAATGTTGAGGGGGTCCTCATTATTGTTTACTATATCAGCGGCAATATGGTGTGATCGTTTGGTCTTTTTAGCCGAGCATTAGTCCGTTCGTGGTCCTTTTGGGCTTCGGGTTTGATTTAAAATTTTTTGTCAACGATTGTCGTTGAAATTGATTTGGAAATTGAAGTGGAATTAGTAGGAATTTTATTTGTTACAAAAACGGCCAGTCTTGTTGGTTTTGAAACTGTTTTAATAATTAGCATACTTTTGTGTTTTCTAGGAAGCGCTTATGCTAACATTATTCCAAGTACAAAAGTCTGTCGACGGATGGTTTGTTAGGACTAGTTGTTAGATAATCTTACAGTTACTTCAACATAAACAAAGCCAAAAATCTAAATCCAAAACACACAGTACCTAATACTAATGCCAAAATTTCCATAATTCTACATTTTACATTTCCTTATCTCTTAGAGAATCCAAAAAGACAAGATTACTTAAAAAGACCAGATTATCAGCACCGCACTTAAGCAATTTATTGTAAGGGCGCTTTCACATTGTACAGCATCACAATCGTCGTGATAAGTCAATTACGAGTGTGATCACACCCTAAGTGAATGGTACTTGCAAGTACAGTTGAAGAAAAAAGTGATTTCAAAAAATTATACTTTGGATACTGATGACGTTTTCTATTTTTCGCTTTACTTAACACCGGCTTTACACATGTGCAATGCTGATGAGTTATTAATTTCTCCAATATTTAATTAATATTATTACACATATACACATCACTCTATACCGCATCAAAACCCGTTGCGTAGTTTTAAAGATTTAAGCATACATACGGATATAGGGACTGATAAAGCGACTTTGTTTTATACTACGTAATGATTTTGTTATTAACTCGACTTTTTCAAGTGTCGTTTACGTAATCTTTTGAATTAATTTTTGTTTTTGTAGCTTTTATTCATAAATTGATTTAATTATTTTTCAATCAAAAAGGAAGGTTGTGGGGATATCTAACAAGTTACTTACTATATTTGAACATAAAATTTAGTATCACATTTTATAAGGAAAAATTTTAATTCTTGTTACATGAATTTCATAATAAATACATTAGCAAATATAAGGGTCTAGATTACTGTTTGAAAAAAGTGTTCAATTTTAATCCAATCACTTACGCCCATGACTGTCCTAGGGTTGCCAAAACAAGGGTGCTGGTGATCCATGGGGGATCGGTAACATTATCGTAATGCCACCCCTGGTCAGGGGCTGGCAGTGTTGTAGGTAAATTTGACGAAAATAAAACTATACTTAGAAGATTGTGCACTTGTCTTTTATTAGGGTTCTTTGTACCAAAGGGTTTTGGGTTTGATACCCTGGTTTAGTAAATTACGTTTAGGTTTTTGGTGTCCAAATTCTTAATATAGTTCTTGATCATCAAAGGAAATAAAGTGGCATATTATTTTTTTTTTTAAACTAATTGACATAGGTGTAATCTAACTACTCAAATTCAGTGTTCGAAAATCGACGAAATTTTTTCTGTCGGCGGAAATCAACACTCAGTGAGTGGAAATGCGACTATTTTGAAGTTCTTTTTATGTTTCGAAAAGTTGAAATTATTTAATTTTGACTGAGAAAACAACCTCATTTAATGAAAACCTGTATTTATTATGTAACTTTTTACTTATTTTATTGTTAAGCTATCATTTCGATATAAAAATACACAACAATACTTCCAACACCAATCACAGAAAAATTTCCATTCAAATGAAAAATAAAAAAGTCGTAACGAACCTACAATTCTGCTCACCTACTATTATGCAAACAAATTGAAATCAATATCACTTCCAATAACCAATTTGTCGTGAGCACAACGTCGGGACATATTGCCAATCAAGATACGGGAATAGGGTACATCCTAATAGGCTTATGCTGACTCAACACAGCTTATCAAGGCTTATGGGCGCTCATAAGCGTGTTAAGCGATAATCTGATCTGTAAATAATAATTGAAGATCAAATTTGCGGCTTATTAGCTTTGTTTTTAGTGGTATTTTTGCGTGTTATCTTTTCATATGATTTTATTACGATGGAGTGTGTTTTGTTTATTGATTTTTTGTGTGAATTTTGGAATGAATATGGGGTTATAATATTGTGTAGTGTTCGATGTTTGAATTAGTGATTTTAGACGATCAAAACTTTCTTGCACAAAATTGTGATTGATGAAATTTCTTACAGATATTTTACAGGGAGTTTAAGTGTGAGAGAGCGACGTTTCGGCACGAATGGGTCGTCTCAACTGGAGTGATACCACGGCCCCACAGCCAGCACAAATCCAGCGCGAATGTCGCAACACAACCACAGCGTTGAGTGAGCTCACCGGAGGCCCAATCCTTCCCCTCCCCCAATCCCTAAATCTCCATATCCCTAATCCCTAAAATGTCGGCCACGCACTCTTAACTTCTCCGTTGCGGGTGTCCATTGGTGGCGCAGATTGCTTAACATCAGGTAATCCGTCTGCTCGTTTGTCGACCTATTACATAAAAATAGGGGAAATATTGAAACTTTTGTACTTCTACTCAGAATAACTCTTTAGTTTTACTAAGTAGTTGTTGAGTGCTTATTCTAAGGAAATAATTCAAAGTTACTATGAGCGCCAAATGTTTCTTTATCCCCCCTTTTTTGTCTACCCCTTTAAGCAATTAAAAGCGTGATACTATGCGAAGTTTTTATAGATGTCTGCTGACCCCTTTTAAAACTAGAGCTGTACACAAGAAGAGCATTATGAAAGTGCTATACAGTCCTGTATCTGTTTAATAATTAGTCAGTTTTTACATCGGTCTGCGCCGGCGCAGAAAGCGTGACGCCGCTTCCGTTTGTGAGCGTGCGTTGATTTATTTTATGAAATAATTGTGATTATGTTTGTTTTTAGTTTTAGGTCATTTTGTTTTGTGTTTTGTTTTGTTAAAATACTTATATATACGTGGAAAGTATATAAGAGTAGGTATGTAAGTATATAAAGATTATTTCAGCTTTAACACAGTAAGTAGTCGGTCTTTATTTTCTAACATGTATATAACATGGAATAGGTGACTGTACCAGATCACATTAAGAAATATATTTTTGTCATACTTATATTACTATTACATATATAGTTTCTGGAAAACTTATACTAGGTACCTACTTATGTAAGTAGATACTGTTGGTAGGGAATGCTTTTTTTAATGTGTATGCACATAAAATATTAACGTTTTGGTAAAACACGTGTCAGAAGATTACAAAAAAGTATCATATAATACGTTTCATTTATGTTTTCCCATGCATCATAGAATACACAATATGTGTACTCATTAACCAAACCATAAGTATACAAACACACACACACACAGACACAACAATAAATCGTATATAACACATCTCTAGGTATCATAGGCCTATGTAATTAGAAACCGGTAATATATATTTTTTCTTAGAAAACATAATATATCAGGCGGTCGATGTCCATCATAGTTTCCGTGTAAGTACTTCCCAACGATGTAACTCACGCAGCGGCGCACGCGCATATACCACTGCGCACAGACCGTATCGACCCAGTACAATGTGCTTTAAACAACTACTCCAATACATTCCTCGCTCATATTGATATTCAGCCAGGATTGCGAGGCACCGCAACCTCGGCCTAGAGTAGGAGAAGGAAGGTTTTTAGTCAGTAAGAGTCTGAGACTCTCTCTCTCTCGTCCCACTGTCTGAGACGCCATTTGATGATTTTCCCCTGACAAAAAAGCTGATATTGATATATAGATATATTTAAGAGTATAAAAATATTTCACTAGAATATGGTGGAGCCATGCTTCGGCACGAATGGGTCGGCTCGATCAGGTCGTTTGCCACCCTATCACATAAGAAAAAACCTTAGAAGGCAAACTGACAGACTGACACAAAGTTGAACTTTTTGATATTTATTCTTTTGTTTGACGTGATGTGTTAAAACAAGACTGAACATGTCCACAAACAAGACTGAACGCAGAAAATATGTCACTATTTCTCAAAAAATAACGCACCTGAGAAATAACGAAACTGATGCTATCAAGGTGAGATTACACAATATAGTCAAGACA